GGTTAGTTTCGGATCCAGAGGAACCAGTTTCGGATCAGGGCGCGGCCAGTTTATTCTACGCGTCGCAACTACTAGTAGTGCAAACACCACAGTACTCGTAGCAATTATTTGTCGTACTGGTCGTGCTGGTATTTCTAATTTGTAGTACTGCAGTACTAAAAGTTCCTGTAGCACCAGTAGTAGTACTCATAGTATTACTCTAGTGCTACTACATCGTAGTCACCGTCGCAACATCCCCAACCCCTCCCCCCCGTCCCGAAACTGGGCCCCGAAACTCACCCCGGTGATCCAAACCGGCATAGAACTCCGAAACTATGGGCACCCATGTAAGTGCGTTGCTTCGTATTGCCTAAGGTCTACGAGCAGCAACGGCCTCAGCAAAGCATGACACATTCCCACCACCTGCATTTCTGAGTTAACCGAGCCCAGGCGCTTCTGGAAGTCTGGCGAGGAGCTGAAGAAGGCCCAGTTGAGAAGATTGTCCCAGGTTCGGCACAGGGTTTCAGTATTGCTCGGCTGGGGAGGCCAGGTCAGATAGTGCGAAGGTGGTGCAAAAGCAGGTGTCAGAAGCTCACCGTCGTGTTCTTGTGACTGTCGTATGATTACGCATGAACCAATGACCCGTCACTTGCACTCAAGGCTCACAAACCGTCCCTGCTGCTACATAAAACATTTTTTTTCACGAAAGGAGGGTCCAGACAGAATGCTGCGAGACATCCAGCCTTTGTTTGCACCCGCACTTGAACAGAGGCAACCAGGCAAGCGAGAAAGTGTGAGAAGTTGTTGGGATATTCTACTAAGCCGTCCATTTGTTAGGGATTTCTGCAGTACGGATGGGCAGAGGAAGATCTGCAGCAACCCATAGATTGATTTCACCTCTCGCAGTGGTCGAAAGCCCCTCTTGCAGCAGAGGCCAAGTTACAAGCAGTGCACATGCCCAGTAGATGCCAGGGAGGACAGGTGAGAAGCCTTAACATGCAAGTAAGCTTCTAACCTGGAGTGGTATTGAAGCATGTAGTGAAATACTGGAGCAGCCATGGGTGGATGTGGTGGGAAAGCTGCACATCGCCAAAGTCGCGACAGCCGGGAGCTGGGAGATGGTTTTCATTACTCCCGCATTGACCCCGAGGATGAGGACTCAGTAAAGGAGTCCGATGACCACCCGGACATCATCCAATTTGCAGCTCCAATTTTTGTGGCCAAAGAGGGTGCGGAGTTCAACGTTAAGCTGATGCGTTTGGGGTCGCTTTCTGGGCAAGTGCGGTGTACCTTCAGAACAGAGGACTGTTCAGGAAAAGCTGGCAGCCGATATGTTCACACAGAGGGTCAGGTGATTTTCCAAGCGGGGCAGTACGAGCAGAGTATCCCTGTTGAGGTCCTGGACACACCAGGCTGGATGGCAACACTGGAGTTTAAAGTAGTGCTTGAGAATCCAGTTGGTTGCCACTTGGGCAGGTACCTGAACATTTGTCGCGTGAAGGTGCTGGACACGGATTACTTTCCTTCCAGTACTTACGAGGGCATTTTGCAAAAGGGTGAAGATGACATAAGGAAGATGAACAGGATTCTTTTGTTCGCAGAGTTTGTGAAGCTTTTGCTGTCAGTGCCCGGCGTTAAATGGAGACTGGTCTTGACGCTGTTTTTCGATCAACTGAAGACTGTTTATGCATGGTTCATGCTCGTCTCTTCTGTGTACATGGTGAACGTGATTTTCAACAAAGATGAGGCCCTTGAGCAGGAACTGGTAATCCCGGATAGCCCCGAGATGACGGCCCGGCTCATTGCGTTGATGTACGTCTTGGCTCCGCTTCTCCTTCACTGCTGGCGGGAGGCAAAGCTACAGATGGATATCAGAGGCCATTGCACACTGTTTCTGCAGACTTCGGTCATGAGGAAGTACATGAACTACAGCGATAGCTCGAGGTCGGAAGTCTCGCAACACGAGGTGCAGAAGTTTGTGATTGAGACCTCAGACGAACTGGCTCAGAGTATCGATGACATCTCATCCCTTTCGGAGAACTTGGGGAAACTCATCGTCCTAAACTATTTCGCAGTTTCCAGTGATCCCGGCGTGGCCTGGGCTGCCATCGCCATGCCTGTGATTATGGCTCTTTGGGCATTTCTGCGGGAGGGCCTCCTTCACAAGCCAGAGGAGACGGATGATTCTCAGAAACTGGTCGGTGACATGGTCAGTGAGATAAGTCACAATTATCGGCTCATTGCTGGCTACTTCCAGCGCCCTGCAATGAACGACAAGTTCGCGGCCCGCGCCACGAAACTCTCTGAAGTGCGCTTGCCATGGGTTGCGTACGAGCTTCGCAGCGAGTTCTTTTTCGACTGGCTGGGTCCGCTTTTTGTGGGTGGATACGTGGCCTTCTACTCGCATCTCGTTCTCTCTGGCCATCTCTCGCTCGGAACGTTTTTGGCAACGATCTCCGTGTTCAAGGAAGTGGGTCATAATTTTGCAGATGGATTCGCAAGAATCCGGAGAGTAGCTGCGAAATTTTCGCCTTTGGTGGATCTCACGGTGTTCTTGAATCGTGCCACGGATGTTCAAGAGCTTGGTGAATTGATAGACAGCAGAGTGCAAGAGACTTCCATCCTCCGAAAAGATATTCTTTCGACCCCTGCCTCAGAAGACTCGTCCGCGGTCAGAACAGATTTGATTCCCGTTCGCCTGGAGAACCTGAGCTTCTGCTTTCAAGGAAGGCATCTACTCCAGGGAGTCAACATCTCAGTACCACAAGGTCGAGGTTGTCGAAAAGCATGCGAGTTAGGGAAGGTGCGTAGCAGGCCCGACGTCCTACGTCCTACCACCTTTCGAGCTGTAGCGACCCGAGGCAAGCTGGTTGCAGTGGTTGGCCGCGCAGGCTCGGGAAAGACACGGCTGATCCGCACGCTGGGCAGCGACACCTCTCCGACAACAGGCACCGTGATTAAAGCCAGTGCTTCGCGTTAAAGTGGAGCTCAAAGGCAGGTGGAGATCTAGATTTCCTCTGCCGGGTGCAGGGGAGTGGCGTCTTGGGTCCTCGAAACGTTACATCCTAGGTTATTGCCCTTTCCTAGGACGAAGGCAGAGCCAGAAGACCAGATGCAAGAAGGGCTGGACGCATGCATGCCTTTGTGAATCAGGTAGCGTGTGAGGGGTCCAGAGCTTTAGGCGTTTCCAACGATAGCACAGTAGAAACTTGTTCAGCCGCCTACAAAGCCAAGGCAGGGTGCTGATTCCCTCGCACTTGCGGTGCCTGCTGGTATCTCACCAAGTGTTCTTGATGAACACATCGCCACTGCAGAATCTCTTTTTCGGAGATCCGGCCTCTCTAGCAGTCCCGGAGGAGCGCCGGCGCATGATCAAGATACTGAACAACCTCGAAATGCGGCAAACCCGCAAGTTCGCAGAGCGGGAGATGCAAATGCTGCAAGAGCCCAGCCCCGTCAAAGCGCAGGAAGGTGTTTGTTGCTGCTGGGATGCCCTACCTGAAGATGACGACCTGCAGCCGAGCTGGCTACCTTCGGACGGCTCGGCAGCAGCTTTACGGATCGCTTCGGAATTGCATGGCTGGCAGGAGTCACTGTCTTTCCAAGAAAGAGCCAAGCTCCACATCGCCCGTGCCTTGATCATGAATCCAGAAATCTTGATCCTGGAAAAGCCATTGATGAATTTCGATGACTACGAAGCGGAATCCGTTGTTCGCGCTCTCCGCGAACATATATCCAACAGAGGCATAGAACTGCCAACTGAGACTCGGAACAGGCGCAGGCCTCGAACTTGCTTCTACAGCGTTGAGCGCGTCAGCAAGAACGATCATCCGGATGTTGTCTGGAAGTTACAAAATGGCGAGATGGTGGAAGAGAAAGAGATTCCAACAGAGCTGCCGTCTTCGAAACGTGCGAGCTCAAGATTCTCCACGGTTCACTGACTTGTCGAAGAACGACAGGGCTTGTGAGCAGCTTCGTGCTCGAAGAGGCCGAGGCGTGAGAGAGCGGATCATGGATTGAGCTTGGCGAAGTGCTGATTGGTCCGCTTGAAAGGCGAGCCTGTATTCTTGTACAGAATGGGGCGATACAGCTCTTCGCTTTGCGAGCTGCCTTTTGTTGCATTCCTCCCGAAGGGAGATAATCGTGGTTTTGCGCAAACGGCTCGATCCAGCCTCCAGCATCTCGTCTGCAAAACCGTTGCAAAGTAAGTGAGGTTCAGGGGGCTGCACGCAGGGTGGATGCACGATCCGAACAGGAAAGTCCAAGGTGACAAAGACCCAAGCCAGCAACTCGCCATTTTGCTCACCACGGTCATAGTTGGGTTGACGGTTTATACTTCTTTCTAATCAGGCATGCACCACCAAACCGCGCAACACACGGGAGGATGCATCCCACGAATTTCTCTCAAAAGCACCAGGAGCATACTGAGCTTGCTTGCCTGGCCCCTGGAAGCCAAGCGGCCATCTGCGAGATGAGGGTTGAAGGAACGACACTTTGGGAATAGGCTCGTTGAAGATGGTACAGCACATGTCGTTCCATGTCATGGCACGGCCGGTCCGTCCCTCACGCATCGAAGGTCTAACCTGAGACGATTCGCCGAGAGGGCTGATCCAGTGTTCGCTTCGATGAAATGTGCCAATTGATGCTCTGCATGGTCTCACCTCACCGACAGTTGCGAAGCACAAACTAGCTGCGGGCGAACAAGAGCCGTCGGTGAGAGAGAAGCTGTGGACAGGGCGTGCTGTCTACAGAGTCTGGACCTTTGCAGCAATGCCGATGCCTCTCGCAACTCGCATGCCCCATGTTTGTTATGGAACTGCCAGGTCAACCCAAAATCCCGCTCCAACGTGTTCCGACAGAGGTTTGCGAGATAGCTTACCGCCGATTGACTTCGAACCTTCACTCTCGGCTCTTGCAGTAGTCATTGAACGTCCCTAACTGCTGCTCGACAGAGGTGCCAGAGGTGCCAGCATCCACAACGAATAATAGTCGTGAGCCACAAAAGTCTTTCAAAGCAGGCGATGGCATTGAGGATATCCGGTGGCCTGACCCCTGCAATAAATGCCTTGCATGTGAGAGCCCGAGCTTATCGAGCTTCACTAGCTCCGAGGTTTGGGACCAGGAACGCCCTTGTTCATGCCAAGGTCCCCCGAGTACACACTCGCTTCGCTGCTGTCGAGAATGTGAGCAGGCACGTGCACGAAGCATGTGGGCTGTGGGCTTTGTTGAGGTTTCTGCGGATTAGTGGCTGCCGCTGCTTCGAAAGATCCTCACATAACAAAACTTCTGTATATCAATGCCAAGAACGCAACTAATCGGTCAGGAGTTTTCTTGTAGGCGGGCTGCCCGTGAATTTTGTCCCAGGAGGCCCGGGCAGCGACACCGGGAAACCAAAGGGCCTGGCCGGTGTTTTGCTCAGGTGCTGCAGAACTTGTTGTAAGCTTTAACTCAAGAAGAAGATGTTATATCTGCCAGTGCTCCACTCGACCCTATACATGGCAGGGTCTGGCTGCCGGTGTGGCAGCTCTAGCCTTTCGTGGCCGCGTGGCCCGTGCTGCAGAAGGCCATCAGTCTCCGCTCAATCAACAGAAGTCCCAACCAGGCAGCACTTGCTTCTCAAAGTGCTATGGGTCGTGAAGGAAAGCTGCGCAGGTAGTCCACGAAGGTAGGGGCAGAAGCACAATGAAGCAGCACAGGTAGGATGTCATCGGCAGGGTGAACTTGAAGAAGCCTGGGCACTCAAAAGTCGATCCACATGCGCTGCCTCCCTCCGATCTTGCAGGTGATGAAGCCCCGGCTCCGCCAGGAACCCACTCACAGAAATTGGCAGTAGTGTGTGTGTGTTGGTCTACACCGGCTACACATGGCAGCAGCGTGCGAGGTTCATGTGTCAGTATGTTGCATTGGAACAACACTGCCCTGGGCTAGGACTGGGATGGCTATGAATGTTGTCACTCCTCGCGTTTCGACACTCAAAGGGTTTCGGCTCAAGAGCCTTGCGCAGTGCTCTTTTGGCAATTCAGCGTTTGGCGTGTGTACAGTTTCGTGTAGATGATTGCGCGATGGCGTGCGTCATTCCACCTTTGCAGAGTACCAACCTAAAGGCTTGCCAACAGCAGCTCGAGGCTCGGGCGGGTGATGAACAACAAAGCTGCAGCAGACTGACTTCTCGACGGCTGCCATCCCGGCCCTGCCACCCAAGACCTGTGACGAGAGAGCCAGCGATTTTTCACCTTGGGAGCCTAGCTAGTCGAGACCCTTCGCTCTCCAGAGCTGTGTCTACATCCGTCGATGTTACCCACAACACGCTCCGTCAATATCAAGCTCTCTCTCTCTCTCTCTCTCTCTCTCTCTCTCTCTCTCCTTACCCTTTTTACGAGGATGTGGATAGTGGAAGTCATTTGGACTCCTTCGTCAGCGCGGCTTCAGGGATGAGTCAGGACACGTCACAAGCGTGAGCCTTGCGACAAGGCACAAAGAACGCTGGTCGCCCTGTTCAACATCCCAACCAGGGGAGAGCGCTTGTTCACCCCAACATTGCGGGTTCGAAGTAATCGAGCCCGGCGTTTCAGAAGCCCGCCTGCCCTGCTCTCTTAGGCCAAGTCTATCCTGCACTGGAGCCCAGAAGCAGTGGTGATGAGGTCGCAGTCTGGAAATGCATGGACTGCAGGGGCTCTTACGGGCAGGACAAGGCCTTTGTTGGCAGGGAGGAGCAGGAGCAGGAGTGCCTCGAGAGGTGCCATCAGGCTCCTCAAAAAAAGTCGACGGCCTGGCGAAGCAACTGCTGGGCTTCGGTGCCTCGTCCAGCAGGTGTCGAGGCCTTGGTCGAACCGAAGCCCAGCTGGAGACCCATTGCGAGAATGGCTCCACAGCCCTCACCCACCTGAAAGGTGGTCCAGACCAGGTCGTGATTGTAGAGAAATCGCGATGAGAATGGTGAAGCAGCTTTCGATTGTGCACAACAAAGAGTGCTGGGTAGCAACGGCAACGGCTTGCTTTCGCCCGGAGCTGCTGCTCAGGTCGCCGCTTCCGGAAGAATTTCCACCGGCTGGGAGCCAAGGGGAAGGGCTCCAGAAATGACAGAGGAATTATAGGCCCTCCGACGTCGGTCTTTAGTTCGCCACTCGCCCAATTTTAAAGCATCACAGCAGCATTTAAAGGGCATGTTATCCGAGAGAAACTTGTCGCCCAGAGGCGATCATCATCGGGGGAGGTCGGCTGGGTGCTTGGAGCCCAGCAAATTGGCAAGGAAAAAGGCGAATGCTGTAAGCTGCGGGCACTACACTAATAGTCTTTGACAGGAAGCTTTCGCCAAGATGGGCATGGGCGTGCTTTGCTTGTTTTCGTCTTCGCGAGGATTCAGCGACTTCACAGCCCTCAGTCAATCGAAGGACGTTCGATCTGTGGCATTCCGCCAGGCAGCGACGTCATCGTGCGCCGCGGAGACGCATTTCCAACCGATGCCCCAAAGGCCTCAACACAGAGCGTAGCTCAAGGGCATGGGACAACTCAGCATGCCAGTGCGCACCATGTATACAAAAACTTCCACCACACCGCTTTTCACATCTCGACTCGCCTACGTGAAGCACACCGGCTTTGTGCAAGGGCCCCATCTATGTCTGCACTCGAAATGATGCTCTGAAGGCAGGCTCTTGGTCTTCTGCATAGCCGTTGTATGAGCAGAAAGGAAGGCACAACTACCATAAGGGTGCTGAGTTGCACACCAGGACATCATCGCGTCTGTGCCAGCAGATCGTCATGAAGATTTGATTTTCGTTCAGAACGGTGCGCTCGTGCGGTGACCTCAACATGCTCAGGGGGCTCTCTTGAAGTAGAGACATAGGCTGCAGTCTGCGCTGGAATGTGGTCATGAGCCATAATCGCCATAATCGTTTCACTCAGGCCTTTCCTGGACAAGAATCTCCAGCCAGGCTTGCCTGCCGCGGCCTTCGATGGAGAGGGGCAACTGGTCTTCTGTCTCCCACATACTTCCACAAGTCGCTGTGTGTGTGTGTGGGTGTGCTGGTAAGACGATAGGCCAGTATTGCGAGAGAGATAGAGAGACAGACACAGAGACAGAGAGGCCGTGAAGGTGCATAGGCATAGGTTATGTATATTTGAAACGAACCTCAAAGAATACGCTACTGTCTACAATATTCCATAACAAGAACATGAAATACTTAAATCAGCATGAAATATGTTATGCAGTACATAGGAGACAACGACACAGGGTATGGTGCATGATACACTATCTAGTATTCCGTGCACTGTACGTGGTACATAGTTCAGCAGATCGTATATCGCGCATGGTGTGTGGTATATAGTACACTGTCTATAGTATATATGTTCTAGTACATGGTTTAGTAGATCATAGGATTAGAGTGCACGGCAGACTACAAGCTCACATAGTACCATAACCCGTGACACGATACTGCGTTGCAGAATATAGTGTACTTGTGTCGTGTCAGCGAGGTTAAAATCGCATAACATAATACAACAGCTTATAGTATCATGCCACATCGCATCATACATTATCAACCTGTAAAATGGTGAAAATGCAGCCTGGTATACTATACCCTACGCTGCAAAACTACACTGTACTGTATGTTGGTGTACTATGTTCAATACATTAAGAATGTTCCATGTCTCATTCTACGAATTAGATCACAGTGTGTTGTTTACCAATTTAGATCCATATGTATATACACATATCTGCTAATATGCACGCATCCATGTCCGCCTCTATTGGCGCATGCACGCGATCACCCAAACACGCTGGCCTGGCACCCAGGTCACGATCCTCCTGGTGTACTTCGCCGTGGCCAAGAAGGGGGAACCTCCACTGGATGGTAAGTCTCGGGCTGAGCAACGGTGGAGCGGTGAAGAGCCGATCAGAGCTCCCTTTTTCAAGAGCATTGCGCATGCCGAGGACTGACACAGACCCGGAAGGCTTGTCGGCTGTGAACACTGGGCCGGCCTCCTGGAAGAGCTGCACTTGTAAAGCCGGCATTTCAGAAATCACACCATATCACTATGAGGTTGCTGTTTCAGCTTGGAAAACTATTCCATTTGCTGACCAGTCCAACCTCCGAAGGAAGTGGGCAAAAGAAGTGCGCTGGAGGCTGACAACCAGCAACCTCGCCAGCGGCTAAGGGACATCGTGACCTTACTTCCAGCAACCACACAAAGCCGGAAGGCAAATCTCCTGCATCTTGAGGCGTGCCGAATGTTGCGAGACCCGGAGTTTATGCAGGCCGGCATGCCAACGCGACTACACGCGCCAGGTTAATACTGTCATTCATACACCCCTCCGAAAGAGTCCAAGAATGTTGCTTGCAGGTGCCCGGCACCCATCTCGGCCTCAGACCCACGACAACACTCGGTAATCCTCACAGAGCCACCAAAGATGTAAGTGCTTTTTGCACAGGTTCATGGGATTGGCCCTCTGTTCCAGCCGCATGCCAACGTAGTACTGGTCACCGGTCGTGCTTGTTGCCTTCCAGGCCTACTGGGAAAAAAACTTATGGATTGCAGCCTACATGCTCGTCGGGGCGCTCCACGACGGCTGCACTGTGGGCGATGTCGAAGCCAAGCATCGCAAGGAGGTGCCCATTTGCCGTGGTAGATTCAGGAGGTCGACCTTTGGAAGTGGGGGCGTATGTAATACCATCCTGGCAAAGGTGGACGAGCTCATAGCTCAGCTGGCCACCGCCTGGACCCTGGGCGGTGTAGAGATTCACTGTCCGAACATCTCAATCTAGTGTTGCCTCACACCACAACACTCCGTCCTCTGACTTCCAAATGCCAGGGAGTGGCCGCGGCAAACGCAGATGTTCGGTGGGCTCTTGCCTAAGCTCAGCAGGGATGCCAGCAGGGAGCCGGAATTTACCATGTCATGCTCGGACGAAGGACAAGTTGCTGCTTTGTGACCGCTTAGCAGCTTATGCACGGAGTGCTGTGGCCCCAGCTGGCATACACAAGTGCTTTGCATCGCTGGATCCATTCTCTAGGTTCTCGGTGTCGGAAGCTCTCAGGTGGCGCACTTTCCCACAGCTGTGAAGGAATTTGAGTGGCGAAACGGGCCTTTCTACGTATCTGCCTCAGCGCTTCGGCGAGCTTGGTTCGAAAGGTGCCAGGCTCCGACAGGCACTCAAGCGATCCACTGCTTCGTCACTCTCTTTCGGTATTGACATCTCTACGTTCCCGGTATCGGGCTTGGCAACAGTCTCATGCGCGCTACTGCTTGTGATAAGGATATTTCCTTGCAGGCCAAGGCTGGGTCCGAAACATACTGCAGTGGCTGCAGGGCCGTCGGGATCCCGTGTCATTTTGAAATCAAGTTTCAAATCGTGAGTAGGCGAGCAGCGCGACAGCGTCCTGATCCGGAATCGAGGGAGTGCATCATGCGCAGTGTTACGTAGATGAAGGGGGGGTTAGTTCGCATGTTCCTGACATGACTTGAAGGGAGGGGCAGTTTTTTGTGCTTCAATCCTGAGAGTTGTGTGTTTTTGTGCCTAGGGTCAGGAGTTGGCAGGGATGTGCTGGAAAGCCTAGGGAGAGACAAAATTCACTTGTCTTCTGGCCCACCCTGCACCACTGCGCATTGTCCTGTCCCCCCTTTTGGCAGGCAGCGGGCCGGCCAGATCCTTGCCCTCAGCATACCGCGGGCCTTGAAAAGCTGGGCGTCATTCCCCAAGTGCGATGTACACTCATGCGTACTCAGTAGCCTGTCCTCGTGTGCCTGTCCCCGTCTTGGTCATCAGGACGTTCTTTCGTGATACATTTTCGCGGTTCCAAGGTCGTTGGCAAAGATGCATGAGAGGATCATCAGGTCTGCGAGATGCAGCCACAGCAATGACAAAGTTGCTGCCATTGGAACATGTTGAGCTTCGGTTTGTCTAGGGTACTACATAGAGAGTCTCAGGAAGGAATAATTGAATGAATCCTTTAATGAATGGTTGGTCCAAGATGAGAGTGGACCTCCGGATATTAAAGACAGGCGGCTGAAACCATGGATGCCTGGATTTTCCAAGAAAGCTGAAGAAGACCGCGGAAAGAAGAAAAACGACACCTTGACATCAGTATGTTTGTCAAGCTCATTCTGCACTGCCAGAATCTGCAGCTCGGAAACTGCAATAGTTCACAGTTCAGGCTTTAGGATGGCTCTCCGCAGCGCGGTTTGAGCCGACCCAGCCCGCCGCCAGACGCGTGAGAGGTCAGTGGTAAGCAGTGGTCGTGAGTTGTCAGTTGTTCGTGGTAGGCAGGAGTGGCAGGGGAAACGAGGGGGTAGTGGTGGAGAGACGTTCCGGGAAGGGATGGTGGTGGAGTCTGGAGGAAGCCATCGTGCCCACAAAATTGAGAACTATATCTATTTTCTTGGCGGTGGAGGCTTCAAAGTTTAAGGCGCAGTGGCAGAAGGTAAGACATGCGCAAGAAACACAGTTCAACAAGCACGAGCTGTAGCCCAAACTTGAGCTGCGGAAGTCGAAAACCCAGTCCTTTCAGAGCATCGTGGCCCCCGCTTACGGAACGCACGCATATGTCGATAGTTTTGATGCATTAAGCCTCAGTCATGAGAGCAATGGCGGCCACACCAGAGGTGCAAGAAGGTGCGGATCACACAGTGCAGACTTGATTAGTACGACCAAGCCTTGGGGCAGGATTTTTATTCCAATCCATCCTGCGTTGCCAGGTGGCGCCATGTGCCGGAGCTGCCGCCAACGTTCCGGGATCCAGGCTGGATCCCCGGCGCCGACCTGCACAGACCAGGTCACAGATCATTCCTCTGGCAAAACCAAAAATGTCGCTTGCTGCGACCTAAGGCATGACACTGTTGGAGCCCTCACTGGAGATCCATGCCAGCTTTGTCGAAGAAGGCTTTGACACAGTCCGCAAAGAGTAGATCCTTAGATAACTCTACAGATCGTCGGCTAAACCGACACAGACTGACAAAGGCATGCATAGAGAGTGCAGAGGAAGTAATACTGTGTGGTTCGCCTCGATTAGACAGGTCGGCACCAATGCGACCCGCTTCAGCCAGAAGCAGCCCAGCCCGACAGACCGTAAAGTGCAAATCTAAGGCTAAGGTCAGGTGCAACAGAGCAAGATCGGATCGCATCCGTGCCCTTAATCATAGAACATTCGCTTTGAAGCACCTTGGGCCAGGTGCAGCAGACGCCGAAGAAGAGTCACTGCCAGTAGCCGGAGAGTCGCTGTTTTCAGTCGTCTCCAAAAAGGAAGCTCCTGGGCCGAAAGACTGCGAAGGGCGCTTCCTCCAACTTGTTTGAGCATATGCAGTAGAATGTTACTGGAATGTTATACTGTGTTTCACGAAAACGCATGGAGTAGCTGTGGATGTTGGTTCGTAAGGCACCCTACTCCTGCAGAGCGAAAGGGCTGTTGATATGTTGGGGTACTATCTCTGGTGCGTCGTTGCCCCGATGCTTATGATTCTCCAGTGTCTGTTCTAGAGAGAGTTGACGACATGCTGTGGGCAGCATGTGCAACGAGCTGCGGTAGTGCTACAGTGCTAACAGTGCTACATAAAAGTGCATGTGGCTGCGGGTTGATCGGGCTTCTAATCTCAGGTGGAGGCCAGGGAGCTTCGCCAGGCTCTAAGTGAGTAGAGGAAGCTTTCTTGAGGCGTTGACTTATTTGACCGGAGACTTCGCGAAGTCCAACCGCGAAGTCCAACAAGTTGTTCGGCAGCAGACGGATCCTGACTCATGGCCGAGGAAAAAAGCAACTGGAAGAGTTCTGCGAGACGCGGCAGGAGGCACCTCAGTAGCAGCAATCAAAGCCCTCGAGGACCCTTCACCTTCGCGAACTCGTTTTGAACTGGGGTCAAGGCCCGTCACAAGCCCGTCACAAACTTTGGAGCCGCCCAAACTGATGACAGTTCGGCAACCAATCGAACGGTCCAGACGAAGCAGAAGCTGCACTGCTGGATGTTGAGCTCGATGTCCAGCCCCTTTGTGCTACTGGGTAGGTGCGTCTTTCGCAAGCAGGCGCAGTGGATGGGTCCGCCTGGCAAGATAGCCCTTGCAAATTCGGCCTAAAATTCTGGAGCTGGAGACCGGGCGGCTGTGCTCTGAGAGTGCCAGGATCCCAGACTGGCTGCTTGACGCTTCGTCTCTGCTGGATGAATTCTATCAGGCATGGTTCTGATAGAGAAAAGGACCCCGCCCACATTCGAAGGAGCGAGTAGCTGCAACTTGTTAGAATGACTAATTGCAATTGCAAGCCTGAAATTACGAGCCATTGAACATGCAACCCATAGATTTCCTGGGAAGGCTTTGGGCCAGCGATCTGGAGGGCTAGAGCGATTCCGGACCGTCATTGCAGAGGCAAGTTTCGGGGCTGCAGGACTTGTTTCAATACTCTCGTGTTTGCGTACCAGAGTGATACTTGCAGATGGCTCGCAACCCGAAGAAAGACCAGGCTGCCAAACGGCTGAACGATGAAGAGTGGGAGCAGTTCCGAAGGTGAGCGCCTGTCGAGCTTCTTGTGAAGTGTTGGTAAAGCATGTTCAACCTGGCATGAACGAAGTTGGGCAGCACCATGTTGACGGCATTCGTTGCAACTTCACCTGGTCTTGAGCTTGCCCTGCAAGCACGCAGAAAGGCAAAGATCTTTTTCACAATAGTGGTTGACCCATGTCGAGGATGCCTTTTGACGCCATTCATCGCCAGGCCCGCACAGCATGATAATGAACATGTTTTATTTTCACTGATCAACGTCAGAATCAGGATGAAATGTGCTGACGGCCCGTCCAGGATCTGCACGTGTTCTCGCGCCTGGTGGCAGATGCAGAGAGCCCAACTCAGTAATGGAGCTTCTTACAGTCTTACAGGTTGCGAAAATGTTTGAGGTTTGCGCCTGTTGGGCGGAGCGACTCCCGAGGCCGCATTGGAAACGGCTGATGGAAGATCCCGCGTCCTGGCCCAAGGATCCGGTTACATTCTTGGACAGAGGCAGAGGACATTGTTACCAAGAATCCAAGACCACAATGAAAAGGGAAGGTTTTTTTGCGCGATATATCCTGTAACATCATTTTCCTATCCGATCCTCAGAACCGAGACCGTATTCGTCAGTGTACCCGCGTGGAACGGGCAGGCCGTGTGTGACGTTTCGACGTGCTATCTTCCGTCGATCAAACTTAGGCGCAGCTTTAGCAATGTTTCGCGGCAGGCAGGAGCTGCAAGCCAAAGACTCTGTCGGCTTGGAGCTTGAGCCTTCGAGCGATCTCATGGCTGTAGGCCATTGTGCGCGAGTATTTGTACATTGGTCACGCCCTGAGTTGATCGAGCCGTTCAAGGACAATGATGAACCCAGAAGCCCGTAAACATGTCGGTTCAAGCAGCACAGCTTCCTCGATGGTGCCGGCGTTAGATGGTTTCGGTGGACCAGTACGAGCATACAGGAGTGATGCATGCGCCATTGTCTTTCACAGTTGGAGTGGCACAGAGCCGACCAGGTCAAAGCTAGGCTGCAGGCGTAACTAGCTCCACATCTGGCGCGGAATCACTCGAAGCCTCGTAGCCATACAGCACTGCAGCAGTTGAAGCATGTCCAGGCAACAGAGAAGAAACATTAGTCCTTTCACCCTGCGAGCTCGCATTCGACGGTGTGGCAGCACTTCGGGCCGCATGTCTCAAGCAGGGGGATACAGCACGCAATTGCTAGTCTAGTGTATATCGGCCGTGCTAACAGGTTGATCAACATGGTCAATGACAGCAATCTTTCTTGGAAGTTTCTTCGCATTTGTTCGGGCATAGGCCAGTTTCAAGATTTCCGATCAACGACGCTCCCGCCCGCAAGGCGTCCAGGGTCTGACGCCCGCCAGCTGTGCATGAGGTCACCCTCGACATGGAGCCAGCTGCGGAGGCTGTTGAGAGCGTTTTCTATGTCTCCCAGAAAGCATTGCTCGTCACGCCCCCTGTTTTGTGCCACTGGTAGTGCGGATGAAAATGCAAAGCTTTCCGTGTTGCTCAGCAGTTAGGTCATCAAGATGAAGCTGAAGAACGAGGAGGAGATACCAGCGGAAGTTCTTCGTTCCTTCTCATTTCCAGGCGACCATGAGGAGTCTCGTCAGCAATTTGCCAAATCCAGAGCAGCGCTACGCCGACAGTTGCCCACTTCAGCAACATCCATCATGAGTAGCACCAAACAAAACCAAACGACAACAAATTGAGGGGAACCATGGGCACATTGAAAGCATGTCTGGGTCAGCTGGCTTGACTGTCCAAAGTGTGGTAAGTTTGACTTGAGTTGGGTCCAAGCCTTAGTATGCAAAGCAGGTGCCTGAAGGGTCGGTTCCCAATCATTCCCACTCTTTCGGCGTAGCCGGTGCCCTAGCGCGATGCGTGCTGATATGATCCGGGCAAGGAAGATCAGATGCTGATTCCAGTCGATCTGAGCTTCTCGGCTGAACAAACTCAATTGGGCAGATTCAGCCAGGGCCTTGTGGTTGCTATCACGTCGAAGTTCTGACTATGCTCATAGGTCCAGAAATTTTGTGATGTTCCTGTGACGCCGGGTACCGTGAGCATCTTATCGACTGAGGCGTGCTGGACAAACATTTTCCAGCGGAGGAAGAGGACGCACAGGACAACGCCCTTTGTTTGCATCACACAACCTGGATCTGTAGACCTTCAGTACAGCTCAGCAAGAGCATAATACCTTGATGAGTGGCACGGCAGACTTGAAGGTTTGCTTTAGGCGCTCATTTACTTCCCGGCAGAGCCTTTGCAGGCTGGATGCAAAAAAGAGCATAGCCACAAGCAGAATCGCCAGCTGCAGGAGCTATTTGATCAGTTCGACAGATTGAATGTCGACCTCCTCATCGAGAAGTTAGGCTCAAAGAAAGCCGGTGAGGCTTCACGGCTGCACCGAAAGCAGGAGCTGCTGCAGCTTGCGGCAGTTCAACGGAGACAATGTAGACCCAGTCGCGTTTGAACGGTTCGCTCGCCCTTCATTTCATGATACATACATCTGGTCTCATCCGATGTGCTGTCATTTCGTAGTGTATGCATAAACACCCCCACACGCAGACACGCGAACACACACACACACACACACAAATGGAGCAACTCTGGCTGCAGCAAGGTTTTCGTCGAGGCTCAGCAGGCCTTCCTCGCCAATCGGAACAATGACGATCCGGACATGAGAGCTCAGCCGATGTCAGTCGCTGAGTGCCTCGGGCTGAACTCAGTTTTGCAAGGACTGGTGCAGCCTTGTGGCCCTTGTTGGCTTACGAAGAACATCTGAAACTCAAGCGAGGTGGAGACGACTTTGGGCAGGTTGTGAGGAGGACTTAGAGGAGGAAGTCCTTGAGGAAGATCAGGAAGTGCCAGCCTCAGGGCAGCTTTCTGGTTTGATGGACGCCTTCATATCCAGGCTACTGATGTACTCACGAGGAGGGTATGTTGCGTGTTTACTATGCGAGGTGAATGAGGAAGCCAATGAAGGTGACGATGTCGAGGAAGGTGAAGAGCCCGCAGCCAAAAAGGCAAGGATTTAGTCTTTAGTGTTATTGGCCCTGGTGCCAGAGATTGTGCATGCGCTCAAGTCGTATGCGTGTTCCTTGTAGAAGAGCCGAGTCCAAACAATTTGGCCTGACACATCCGGCCGCAGGGGGGCAATGGCACCCGTACATGTCACAGACTCCAGGACACAGCAGTGAGGAGTCACATCGGAGTTTTGATGGCCAGGGCTGCCTGAAGTATGAGTACTTATTTCTGACCTGGGTTGCACGAGTCCGCACGAGCTCCCGCAGAAATAGCTCGGAGGGGTGCGCGAGAGGTACATGGTGCTCAACTTAATCACACATATCACACTTTGTATCAGAGAGCGTCCAACCTGTCAAAGGCTTGAGGGACCCCAGCGAGCAGATGATGGAATTCTTTCAACGTCGAGGCCAGGAGTGTTTGTTCAAGAGCTCTTGCAGCCAGCAGGCACCATGCAATTCAGAGGCACTTGCGGTCAGGCCACATGTCGACAGATTCCGTGCCTCGCGCAGCAAGGCTGGAGCATGCACCGTGCTCCTCCAGTCTTACCCAAGCCCTTCGACAAACAAGGCCCAACCATTTCCTTTGCCCTAGAGTGCCATGGACAGAACTGAAGAGGTAGGTGCTGCATGCTGGTTGGCAGTGGCGCAGTGCGGTGGCAGGGGTTCTCGTGCCACCGTACTGTGTGATGACATTGCGCAAGTGTTTGGTGTTCGCCCTGCTGGCAGCCCATGCTACGACCATGCTGGCACTGCATGCCTTCAATCTGTCCAGTCCTTTTCTACCCTCGTTGCCAACAAACCTGCCAGCTGGAGAAGCAGATGGCCCGGATGGGTATCAGCGTGAGCCTCAACCGTTCAGTTTCACAAGCCAGAAGATAACTTGCAGATTACTATGGACATACTGTACTTTTTGTATCCTGACCTAAGGCTTGCGGTTCTAGATCTCACCTTCCCCTGTGACGCTCCACAAGAGGGTGCGGAGGCCTGTTTGGGAACGTGCTGCTCCACCTGAACCAGTTCTATGTCATAAGAATGACTAAGTGGCTGCAGGTGGGCTTGTCGAAGGCAAGGGGCGATCTCTTCGAGACTGATGTTGATGCTGCAGACGAAGTTCTGGAAGAGAAAGGATTCAGAATTGGCAGCGAAGCCTGTCGCAAATTGCTCTCAGCATGACACATGACATCGTCCAAAACTACCAATGTGCTAGAGGTGTACTTCGGGGAAAGGGGTACCGTGTACTGTAAACGAAGGAACCTCTCGCTATTTGTTGCTCGTGACTCCACCTTGTGCCACGAGGACGCAGAACTCGGCGACGATTTGGTATGTGATGTGACGCCTGGCCTGTTTGAGCTACGGCAGAAAAGTCGCACAACTAAGGGCGAAAGATAAGTTCGGCATGCTCGCCGCAGTCCACAACTTGCAGTCAACAAGCAGAGGCGACAGAGACTAAGGCTGCCAGACTCCGCAGAGCAACAGGTCACCTGGGCACCTGGAGCGGGTCCCGCGCCTCGCCTCTCCGGATTGCCGCTGAAAGCTAGCGGCTTCGGGAAGATTGGCGTATCGCGCAGCGATGACGTGCGCAGGACTGGCTGGCGTTCACGGGTCCTTTACCGAGCACTGCACGAGCCGGATCCAATTTGTCATTTGGGTTGTGTTATCAGGACAAGGGGAACGAGACCACGTTTGCTGTAGTTTTCGCGCCTTATGTCAGCGTGTTGAGGAATCGTCTTCACCAGTTTCGCAGCAGAAGTAACAGCACAACCTCGCGCAAAGCCTTGTTCCAGGCGGCTTCACACAATCCAGGGAGCCTTGGCCGAAGCGCTCCGCAACCTCCAGAGGGGCGGTGTTTTGGTTTCGCCCTCGGTGAGACTCTGGCATGTCAAGATATCGGTAGAAGACTTCAGCGGTTTGTCCATGCCTTGGAGCTTCGAGGCCGTCAGCTTTCAGAGTCCTTGATCCTGCCTTCTTAGTCTTTCTGTCATCGCCATGGCACGCTCCACGATTGCCATGCTGGTCTCCCTCGCCACCTGCACGCTTCTGGTCCGACAGTTGGCCCAGATGACCTTTGTCGGCTCCCGGCCTGTTACGGGATCCTCCTCGGTGGCGATGCGAGCAGAGGCTGACACTGAAGTGGTCGAAGAGAAGGCTGTCGCAGAGGGTGACCGACTCAGGCTGAAGATCCAATCGGCTGAAGGTGATGCGGTCATGGAGGCTTGCTCCGAGGTGATCCTGCCTAGTGCCAGCGGTCAGTTGGGCATTCTGGCCAACCATGCTCCCATGATGTCAGCCCTCGACGTGGGTGTGCTGCGCTACAAGCAGGATGGAAAGTGGACCCCAATTGTGGTCATGGGTGGCTTTGCAAGCGTGGATTCCAATTCCTTGTCAGTTCTGTGCAACGACTATGAAGAGGCCAGCAACATCGACATGAACGAAGCCAAGTCTGAGATGGAAAGCGCTACGGAGATGCTCGAGAAAGCCGAAGCCAAAACGGAGAAGCTCGAGGCAACCCAGAAGGTGAAGAAGGCCGCGGCCAGATTGCAGGCGGCCATGTTCATGTCCAAGAAGTAAGAAGTGAGCACAGCGATGACATTTTGTTTTTGAAAGATTCTCCAGGTCGCTGCGCGGGCAGCTAGAAAACCTACCATTACTTGTTCATCTAGTTCAGAAGAGAAGAGGAGGCTTGCAGTTCAGAAGAAAACCTGAACTGCATGCCAGGGTGCTCTTGTCCACCCAAGGGCAGCGTAGCGAACTTGTGAAAGCATGCTGATGCACGAAGCACGATCTTTTTGAGTGGTTTATGGGACAGATATGATGGGCCCAGGGGGTGCGAGAGACGATTTCCCAGAATTGGAATCTAGCCGACGGCCAGAACTTGTGTCACAAAATCGCCTGAGCATGCCAAGGGTTACAGCGCCACCTGCGAAGGGCAGTAGCTGTAGCTTCTGGTCCTTTGAGTGATGCTTGCCCACACGGGCCTGTCCCAGGTTGCCAGCTGGTGCGGCCTTCCCACACATCCGTTGTTGCCGTTTCTGACGAAGCAGCTTCGGCCAGGATTTCGCCGTGCCTTGGCCCAGCACACGTGTCTGAACACTGCAAGCAACATCATTTTCAGTCCGAGTTGGGACACCCACTGCGCTGAGGCGTGCATGTGTTGGTGCCTCCGGACTGCGTGACCTTTGAGACATACATCGTTGCTGCAGCCTTTTTCTTGACATTAAGTTTTCCACGAAGTTTCGTGGGCATGCATTCGGTAAGCTTTTTGGATCGCTGAAAAGCCCGAGGAATTCGACCCAGACGGGCACAATAGCCGGCCAGATCCGGTCCCTCTGCGACCCCGCGAGAGCAGAAACTCGCTGCTGGGGTTGGAGCCTGCCGAGATGTGTGCTTCTCCTGCAAAAGCCTTACGCCGTGGTCGCTCACTACAACCAACCACCGAGGTGCAACTGTCGGTCCTGACATTATACACTAGACATCGGCGGGGCGGACTCATGTGCCGTACAAAGATATACGAAAGAGAACGGAGAAGGGTGTGAGTCGGTTGGGCTGCTGGGTTTCTCCAGGACTCGTTGGCGCGGGAGGAACTGTTTGGAATCACGATGTGGGTTCAACGAAAAACAGCCCTATTGACTCGGACTTGCGGCGAGGTTTTTAGGGGTTCGCCCCTTAGGCCCTACGAAAGGAAGAAAACACGAATCAAGGCAGTACCCTCCGTTAAATTGAAACCTGCAGAAAGAAAGCGCATCGAGGCAAGTTCAACTTCCTAAATTGGTTACGCAGTCCACTCCGGAGCATCTCGCCACGCATTGAGTGAGGTCACTTGCGAAATCCCACGAGTGATATTCAGTTTCTTTGATGCCTCGCATGACATCTACCAGATGACTACGTATCCGTAGCAGATTTCCCGGCAGCAGCTGATGGGCCCCAAGACACCGTCAGCACATCCGAGGCTGGTCAACAGGTTACGACGATGTCTTGGCATGGACGTTGAACTTCAGACGCGAAATCTGCGAGGACGCATGGCTACATTGAGCCACAAGCTCAAGACTAGCCGAATTCGCATGCTCCATCAAGTTGCAAGGCCAATCGTGTTCAACGGATGGCCAAGCCAATCTAAGGAGTGTTTGCCAAAATACAAGGACACAGTCGTGAACGATGTGCGTGCCGATGCGGCTTACGATCGCCCCTGGCTGACGAAGATGCCGGCGAAGTCTCATGTGGCTACTTTGACTCAAACTGCCAGAGCAGTGGCATGCCATCAGAAAGGTCGTGCCGATTGTCCAGCAACAAAGCCTGTTCAAGCTTACGCCATGAAACAAAACCCAAAACCTGGAATTCGCTCCGTTGTTGTCAGTCTTTCCATCATATGTCGAGGCTCGGTCGGCGCCCCTGGACATGGAGGCTCGCTTCGATGAGATGTGGCAGCTTGTTCGCGACGATACCCTGCAAGCCCTGCCACAAATCATGTTTGGCCAACCACATGGGCTCAAGTCGATGGAAGGTCTGTGCTTGAAGTATGTGTCTTCCTGTTGAATCGGGATCGGGTTGGGTGCACTCGTGTTTGCAGTCAGCCAGCGGTGTCCCGTTCCGTCGTATCGGGAAGGATTGCAGCATGCAGCGAATCGACAGCCCAACGTCCTCGGATGTCCCGCTGTCAAAGGTCTATCTACGCGACCAAGCTGGCGCTATTGATGAACAAGCTTGAGCCGCATTCGCTTGATCCAGATCTTATGCCTGAAAAGCCCCCGTACCGGTTCAATGCTACTTGGTGTGAGAGCCATCGAGGGCCCCGTAGCTGCTGCACAGCTGCAGAGTTTCGTGGCAACTTGCCTGTCCTAACCAGGCGACCACCAGCTGGAGTGTGCCGAGACCCATTCTTCCACCGGCTGAGCTTGTCACACTGCCACAGAGGACTCGAAGCTCTTGCCGAAGTTGCACCATAGCATCGAGCTTTCCATGCGAGTACCAAAAAGAATTGGCTGCTTCAGGAAGCAGATGCCGACCGAAGGGGTGCCTGAAGAGAGATCCCAATCCAAGGCGGAGGCCAGCACACTGCTTGCAAGTGATTTGGAGTATGTGCTGCAGCTTCCGATACAGGGGTCGAAGTCAGCACCATCCAAGTCGGGAAGTAGCTCAAAAGGAGGCTCAAAAGAGCGTTCGAAGAGAGGCCGCACGAAAAGCAAGGACTGGTCAGTCCAATGGGCGGAAGTTGACACACATTCACTCGAGTAGCAGGTTGTTGCCCTTGTCAAGAGGAATCTGGCAAGAAGAGTGGGGCATGCCAAACATTGCCCAACGACTCGTCTACAAGGCTCCTTCACGGCGAGAGGGGGGCCCAATTCTTGCATAGGGTCAAGCCATTAGCTGTCTCATTCGCTGCAGTTCCGAGAAGCCCACGGCGGGCATTTCAGCCTCGGAAATCTCTGGCACGTCCTCCGCCACGGCGATTGCGGCAAGCCCTTCTGTGCGTCTTGGCATGAGGCAACGGCAATGAGCTGTGACTCCGGCCTTGCATTCGCTCGCACGCTGCTACTGTGAGTCAGACCCAGGATGGAGCAAGGGGGTGTCTCGGAGGACGCTGTACCGAAGCTGAATTTGCCAAGCTTATGTTTCGAAGGCAAAGTCCACATGCTCCCGTTTTCGGTTGACTTCGAAGGAGCTGCCCATTGCGCAGACTGCCGATGAGCGCTTTGCCAGAAAGTGTGCATGTTTCGCAAATCCTGGTAAGAGCTCTGGACCGTGGATGACTGCGGAAAAGTTTGGGGGTGCAAGGGTCCTTGAACTTCTCTGGCACCTAAGAAGCGCTGCTTGGGAACAGGATTTCGAGCATATTGGGAAGCTGAAGTGTGCAGGCAAAGCTTGGTGGCATGTGCAGGAGCTGGAAATTGGCGGGGTTGTTTTCATGAAAGGCTCGGGTCTCGAAGTCGCTAGATGGTGTTCTACATGAGCACCGATGAGCTACCTTATTCCATGTATCGCATGTTGGACATGAGCCTGACTTTAGACTGCTCAGGGCTTGTTTGCACATACCCGATGCTCTGGGCAAAGGAAGCTTGAACCTCCGGGAGATGCCACACTTGATGCTGGCCCCGCCAACGAGAGCAGCATGGCTAGGATAGAGGCAGAGGTATTCCCAAGCGCCAGCTTAGTTGAAACCTTTGCGACCGAGGCCTCGCTGATCCTGCCAGCCAGCAAGATCCGGACTGCTGCTGCACTGTCGAGTGAGACGTAGGAACGGTGATATACTATAAACTTCGCTTATCATTGACTGAATGTGGAGTCTGACCGTTAGCCCTGGGCCAGGTTGTTCAGCTGAATTGCAGCAGAAACTCCCATTGCTTCCACTGAGCCGACAGCCCAGCCCTCGCAGGAGATCGATTTGTTTGAGGACTTGCCACAGCTGCAGCCTCAAGGGGACCGTGCGCCAGGTGCAGAGGTTGCCTGTGATATGGATTTGCGGCAACACCCGCAATGATGTGGTTGCATGACAAGCCTGACGTTCCGACTCAGATGCCGCAGCATGACGGTTGCCAGCTGTGCCTGCATATTGTCTTCGGTCTCGGCACAAACTTGCGAAGTTGGTCAGATGCTATCAGGTCAGTGGTAAATACCCTCCAGAATGTTTGGCTCAAATGCACACCTGCCGTGCTGGGACATAGATTTAGGTTGCACCATTTACGGCGTTGATCTCTGGCAGCAATCGGTGCGTTGGAATTTGCGGCTCCCGGGATGTTCAATTGCCGACAGAGAGACTCATTTTCCACAACACTCGCGAATCGATTTCGGCGGCATGTTCCGACTGACCCTGCGGTGAGTTCATGTGCTAGTGGATCGGGTCAACAACTTGCTCCGAGGATGGCGCCCCCAACGGACAGTGATGGTGGATGCCCAGAGCCATTTGACACCATCTTGTTTGTTGATGTGGATCCTCGTCAGACATTGATGCGTTTGGCACGAGAGAGTCCATGCGGTCGGCGAGGCACGATTTGATGGAACTGCCGGGGCATACTGCTAGGGCTAGGGAGGAAACAAATCGGCATGGCTGCAGCTAGCGACGGACTGCATCCGAGATAACCTGTAAGGACGGTGTATTGAATGTTGGCATCCAGGATGATGGCATCTTGGATTGCAGTGTTGCGTTGCAGTGCTGCTTGTGCATGCGGAGCCTGGCTAGTGCAGTGCCGCCGTTGCTTTCGAAGCTGTGGCGCCAGTCTCCGCCGATCGAAGGAAATGCCCCAATTTTGCTCAAGACCAATGAGCTAGACCTGGCACGAGAGCTTTGTGCCGCGGGCTACAACGGCTCCTCAGAGACAAGTTTCTTCAGCCTAGCACGACCTGGACCTAGACCCAGCATTGCGCCGTTCGCTTTGCACAGCTGACATGAGACAAAGGCCGAGATGCTGATACCGCGCGGCGAATTTGTGCTCTGGCTTCCCACTCGGCTGACTGCTTCGGGAGCATCACGTACGAAGCATTGGCGACTGGGCGCAAGACATGTCCAGTGCCAAGCAGTATGCGCTGTGTAGCAAAGCCTCGCAGTTCTTGAATCCGCCTTTGTCGCAGCATGTGGAAAGTTTTCGTAACTGGGCGCGAGCCCCCGAAAGACTCGCCTACTGAACCAAAGTAAGACGACCTGCAAGGCAAGCCAGGATCAGCTCTCCAAGGATCGGGACGTCCCTCACAGTGTGGATGTCTAGGTTAGTCAGCATTTTGGAAACCGATTCATCTGCACAGCACCGGCGAGGTGTTGCTGGGACGACTGGCGCTGCTCATCCAGGATATGCTCAGCTGCACAGCCAAAGCCTCGCCTCAGATTTGTTCAGAGCTGACGGTCCTCTGCACACGCAGGAGGCTGGTAGTCGTTGCCATGTGGTGCTCTCTTCCAGCTGGCGGAAGAAGCAGCATGCTGGGAGACGGAAGGTCCGCTCAAGCTGTGGAGCTCTAGCACACGCTTTGACAATCTCGGCCTGTTCAGCGAGTAAGTCTTAGACCCGGCAGGTGCTTGAGGAGGAGCTGTCCCAGTGCCTGGGGAGGCTCAATGGGATAAAGCACTGCCTAGCGTTTGAAAAGTTGTTTTCACAGACGTACCTGGGTGTTTCCCTTCCATGCTATCCTTCATCAAGTCCAGATGTAAATGCTATCCTTCATACATTCCCTGCGCTGGCTTAGCAAAGGCCGTTTGTCTTCGACGGAGTAACTGCCTTGCTGCTACCAGAGCGGCATGCCGTGCACAGACTTGCAGCAATACGTCGGGAGCTTACTGAACCTCTGGTGGCTGGCGGATTCTAACCCATCAAATCTTTGTCATCATGTGTGCTTGTCCTGGAGATCTTGATAGAAGAGATGCCAAGGAATGTACTTGTCAGATTTTGCACAGAAGGACCCAGAATGGTCAAGCTGGTGCGAGTTAAAGAGATCTCCACTCACACCACAGAGCGATTGTCCGCAAAGCAGGACAGATTTACTGCCAACGTCAAGGTGGTGGTCATCGACGACTTCTTCCTGAGTCCAATCTCTGGCTGGGATTGTGGTGATACGAGCACCTCGGGCGCAGTTCTTTGTCATGCGCTTTAGGTTCACAGCAGTGCACTCGCAAAAGTACACTCTTCTTCACCTGCCACCACATTGGGGATCGAAGCATTTCCCGCGCAGTGTAGAATGCCGGCATCACACGGCGAGCAAACTTCTATGGGAGCCATAACCGTCAATGGTGAAGAAGCTGAGGGATTCCGTCAGTAAGTGGGATAGCAACGAGTACCCGCTTCAGGGAAGGCGTTTGAGAAGAGCAAGAATCATCTCTTTAAACTTTAAACTGTACAGGCGACTTTAGGCCAGCAAGTGGCAAAGTAGGACTGGGATGGATGTCAACTGTGTTTCTGCATGTGGGGCAAGCTGGCTGCCAGATTGGAGATGCCCTGTGGCCTGCGCTTGCACAGGAGCGGCCCGGCTCTCCGGAGTTCTTTCGGACCCGAAGTGCCGTTTGCCCTCGGGCGATTCTGGTAGATGCAGAGCCAAAGGTTGTGGAAAGTGTGTTGGGTCAGGACAACGGCGCATACAAGTTTGATCCAGCGAGTGCAGTCACGACCCAAAGCGGTCGGGGAGGCAATTTCGCACTGGGATATGCTGGAGATTCTTTGGGCCGCGCTTCCTCCCTGGATGGAGACTCTGAGCCCCTGTGGGCCAAGGCCATGGAACGCTTTCGACATCAAGTTGAAGGCTGTCACGGTCGACACCTTGGAACATACTTAGCACACTCCATGGGAGGGGGAACTGGGAGTGGCCTCGGCACCCGCCTAGCGGAAGAGGTGCGTGACGCATACCCCAAGGCGTCCCTGCTGACGACCTCCGTCCTGCCAATCTCCAGTGGGGAGAATCCGATGCAAAGTTACAATGTGATCTTGGCGCTCTCATGCATGCAAGAGATCGCTGATGGAATCGTTCTTTATGAGAACGACATGCTGCTGGCATCTGCTGATGACAGTAAAACGGCAGAACATAGCCCTGGTACATCGCTGGCTTCCATGAACTCGGTCTTGGTGCGCGACCTCGTGCCACATTTGTGCCCAGATTCCCTACCAGCTGACCTGGGGGAAGTGCTGTCTGCAGCGGTGCCGCTGCCCAGTCACAAGATTGTTCAAGCTTTCAGCGGCGAAGTGCTCTCATCACTTGGACCACCCTCGAGTCCTAAGCCTGTTATCGATGCGTTGAGGCTGCCACGAAGTTCGCGCAACTCTCAAAACTTGATTGCTGCCCGAGCTGTTGTGCGCGGTGCACCCAAGCAGCTGCTAGGCAGTCTGGCTTTGAAAGATGAGTTGCTTGACAGATTAGGCGGTGCAGTGCCTTGGCAGCCCTTTGCTCTTGATATGCTCTGCAGCACACAGCCTTTACGCTCGGCACCACCGGCACGAGCGAGTATTTTGACCAACTGGAAGAGAGCGTCACAAATCCTGCGGAGTGTGCACTCGAGAGCCTGCAAGAAATATGCCTCGGGCATGTTCTTACACTGGTACGAGACATGTGGATTCGGCCCGGATGCCTTTGCGCAGGCTTTTGAGATTGTGGAATCCATCATAGGCGCTTACGAAGGCAGCTGAAGCGCTCGCTGCGTTGAGCAAACGTCAAGGTGCCTGATCCATTCCGAACACTATCCGACTGAACGAGGACTTGCCATAAGTGTAGTTCTTGAAGCCTGCAGTGTGTGTAGACTTTTCGGCCTGAGGCTGTGACCGAATGCATCGAAAAAAGCCGTTTGTTTCTTCACCACTTTAAGATGAACGGGGGTGGTCGACCCCATGAAGACACAAGGTATTGAGTCTGTCGCTGATGCTGAAGCTTACCTCGCGCGTGGAATGGAGAGCTCTGACCTCACGGCAGAAGTTAAAATTCTGCACTGCTACGAGGAGCTGGCGACAGATTCTCGGCTCGCCACAACACACTTCAACCAGTCCTCAGGTAAGGGCCACGCATGCTCCTGCATGCGCACAAGCTGAGGGCGGCTATAGACTCCAAGTCGGAACAGGCTTGTCTGGTAATCTTTTGGCTGACGCCTTCGAGCTCCTCGGCTGCGAATTACAGACGACAGTGTGCCAGACATGCGTTCTTAAAGATGTGTTTGGTCTTGTGTTCCACGATACTGCCTGGCCATTGCGAGCGATGATGTAAGTGGCACCCGCCCGCTTAAATGCCCCAAAGGCCCAAAGTGATTGAAATGGCTGCTCTTCTTGTTGCAGGTTCTTGAAGCCGAAGGATGCCGTGAGTCCAGTGCATCTCCGAGGACCAGGAGAAAAGGCTATTGTCAAAGAAGGCCGGCTTCGAGAAGGCATGAACTCTAAAGGCCAAACGAGTTGTGGCACTCTTTGTCTATTTCGATCCCAGTTGGACTCGCTCATGGCAGGCATTAGACGATTCGACATTTGTGTGCGCAAGCGGGGCAAGCTTGTGAGTATATTGCATTATGTTGCATCATGCCCCGTGCTTTGACACAGGTGCAAAGAAGAGCAGCTTCTTCCAAGTGGTGGCTAATGCTTTCGCGCCACCAACCACCCCTGTGCTCTGGGTTATCTAGTTCAGTTTCAGTTCCGTTTCAATCAATGGCCTCACACACACATACAGCAGCTGCCGATTTCAGCACTAACCTTTTCAACGAGACGCTCATGCAGCTGTCGGTTATCGCTTTTGCCGGAGGTGCGCTGCAGTAAACAGTAACCCAGAGAAACGGCGAGAGAGTTCAGCTGGGCATTTCGCCGTCTGTTGCCCGAGAATTTGGTTTTCAATGCGCTTGACGTTTCTATTGCTGGCGCAACAACCATGAATTGCATGAGACGTCTAACCGAACAGAGCACTACACACTTCTGAATTCATCAGCAAGCAATCACATTACAGACTTGTTTGTGACAACTCCAATGTTGTAAGTGTAGCGCTTGAACCAACAGTTGCGCAGAGGACCACAAAGGAAACGTCAAATTTAAAGTGTATGAAGAGCCAGAGCCAGGCACTACATCTGTTCACAAGTGCTGTTCCCACGACCCGATTGTTTCGCAAGGGGCACCTTCGCACCAACTGCTTGGTACATCCAAAGTCCTGAGCCACTGGTGGTTTCCTTTGCGAAAGATTGGAGATCATGTACGTCCGTGACGTGGGTGTGAGCTGCTGCGCGGAACCGCCGGCACTCGCCCATGAAAATCCCAGCAGTGACGCAAGGGGTGGTGACTTTGTGTTGCACAAAGCCCGTTTTTACAGTCGTAACTTTGAAGGTTGATTGCTCTCTCCTGCTGGGTGCCCGCACTGGGCGATCTGCAGGATGTCGCTGACACACGCGGCGAACCAATTTGTCCGTGTAAGGCCCATCTTTGCACGCTGCAGGGAAATCCTGTTCCACGGTGTGTCAAATGTCTTCGCAGGTGGCACAGACCTGTGCCTTCGCCATCTGCGTGTTTCCACCGTGACCGTGCACAACATTTGATCACTTTGGGGTTTGGGCTTTCCCTGGTCGGAGAGCTCATTCTCTCTCTTTCTGTCTTTCCGAATACAGCAGGGGCACGGAACATGGAGACGGTATCTTACGCTTTTGGCATTTGGTGCACTGCGATAATCATCGATTGGTTCCGTTCTCTTGTGTGGCTAGTGGCTTGCGCAAAGACAGGTAGACAAAGTGTCGCAGTATCCCTGCATTTGCGCCACGCTGCCAGATGAGTTCAATGACCATGAAGCCTCGCAGGTGCTAGTTAGGGCATGTGATGGCGCCAGGCAGCTGCGCATGAAGTTTGCGTTGTTCAGGAGTCAGCTTCTCAAGGCTGAGCGCTTGAAAGTCGCTACGGGATGTCAAGCCTGTCTGCTTTCTCCGGAGCAGACTCGGCTTCATGTCACTGCCAACGTGAGCCAAACCTGTGCGGTTGGAGAAGTTTCCTGGCGGGCATGCTCGAAGTACAGACGTCCAGGTAGTAGTGTGTCATGCGCATTTAATTGTGCCGCTCGGTCGCTGTCCTGGCCGCGGGAGGCATGTTCGACAAGGCTGCGGATCACAAGATTTAGGCTGCAGCGGCAGGATCGTGGAGCCGATGTTGGAACCTTCGGCGGCCATTCAGCAGGCAGGCGGCAAGCACACCACTCGGGGGTATGGCAAGGACAAGGGGAGCAAGTAACTCATTCCGGACTTTGTGACCCACCCAATACTCTCGCAAATCAGTTTGATCACAGTTTGACTATAGTTACAAGTTTTGGGATTTGGTTGTTCTTCTTTGCGCTACAAGAGCGCCCGATCCGGGTGGAATCACATAGCGATGACTGAATTCGCGGTTCGCTCATCCTGGGCTGACAGGCTGGCGATTAGAAACGGCCTATGTCATGTTGACAAGTAGTCATATCTCTTAGAGAGGACCTTTTGGCGGTACTTAGAAGGCCGGTCATCCCAGAAGGACTGGACACCAATTTTCCATTGAAAAAACTCCCAAGTATACTTTCTTAAGGCAGGCGTGCAGACTCACATGCGCTTCGAGCGTCACATGCAAGGGAGCCTGATCTTACCCACACTGCCACTGCCGCGTCGAACCGGAGCATGACTGTAAAGTCAAGTGAGCTTTGTTGTTCAATGTTTTGTGCAGTGCTCTCTCCACCTTATCAGTGCTCTTGTTGCAGCGTGCTTGCCACATAGCAGTTTCAAGGGTCTCTTTGCAAGTCAAGAAGCTTGCTGATCTGACCATCGCACAGAACAGGATTCCATACATTACGATGGAATCCTGTGCTAGTTCCAATTCGGTTGCCCGTTGAGGTATGATGAAAGTAGCAGCTCGTGACCATGCGTTTTCACGTTTTCGTTGAGGACAGCTTAGCAGGAAAAAGAAGCTGCTCCCAAATGCCCGCTTTACAGTCCAGAAATCTGTTGCAAACTCAGTCCCGCCTAGGCCAGTGAAACGGCATATCGCCCGGCCACAAGTTGCGAGAGCCTCAACCAAAGTGGAACCGCCTCGGAGGAGCTGCCAGTTTAATTGCTCCCCGCCGCGCCCTTGAGACCGTGAGGCAGGGCGGGCACAGTGCACGCCTGGAGCTCAGCTGTCAGGAAGCGTCAGCAAGTTGGGAGAACAGCAGAAGATGCTAGCAGAGTCACCCAGGATGTGGATGAGTTCCAGCCTTGGAGCAGCACCAGGCAGGTGTTTGCCTTTTGCTATCCCAGGGTGAGTGCATAGCCGCATAGCCCAAGCCAGGCATCGGCCCGGATCCAGTAGCACTCACAAACAGCAGGCCCTTTCTGTCTCAGCTGCTCAGTCATGTTTGTGCGACTGCGGCTTGGGAAGCACGGAGTGACAGAATGCTTGGCATGGTCTTTCTGCACTTATCCTGCAACAGTTCATGGCTGAGCGCTGCCTTGGAGAAGATACCGAACTTTTATGCCGACGGCCAAGAACAGATTACTAGCTGAAGGCTTGCAGTCGTTGGCGTTCTGTGTCAAGGCACATGAGGCCTTGCCCACTTTGTACAGAAGATCGTGGCCCAAAGCATTGCAGCGGTCCCCATACGAGCAGGCTGGGTGTGCAATGAGAAACCCAATAAGTCGAAGCTCATTTCAATCGGGTGCGAGGTCATGTCTTCCAACTATGCTGACGCATCTCGGCCACGTAGCGCCACCAGCGGCGTCGCCACTGCCAAAAGGCCCATAAGAATCAAACGGGGCAGTGGCTTGATGGTTGTTCTGCTGCGAGGCTGGCGGACGCCCCATCGCGTTCATGTCTCAGTTGCGCAGGTGCAATCAGTACTCAAGTCTCTCCCGTGTCTTAGGCAACCGGCCGAGTCACTGCCTTACTCTATTACACCAGCTGTTTTCGATGCCTTTTAAGTAGAAAGGCTTGGAGTGTTGACCTGGATGCTCGTTCAGCAGCAAGAACCACAAGCCACGGAGTCTATCAACGCATGTGGGCTAGGCTCTACCTGTGGACGAAGGGGAGCCGAGGCCTCAGCTGCGGCTCAGGCTTCGAAGTTTACGACGAATATCACTTTACAAAAAAACACGCTTTCTTGTTCTCCAAGGGTGCCAGTCGTGTGCATGACAGGCGAAAGTCTCTCCGAAGCGCCACACTGCAGAGTCAAAGTCGAAGGAGCCGTGACCCTACATCTTGACGCACAGTCATACTTGCAGTGGATTCTGGAGTGGAGCAGTGCCTTCTGAGGCCTGCTCGGCCCCACTCTGCGGCATCCCGCCTTGGGCGTGCCGCGATGCTGCCTTCCGTCGGGCAGCGCCCTGCAAGTCGTCAGAAGAGCAGAAAAGCACAGAAGGCAGCCTGGGAAGAACAGACTGACAGAATCCCATACTGGGCCTGGCACTTGCAGATCCCTTTCGTCATGCGGCTATGGCTCCCTTCGTCGGTTCTGACTCGGAAGCAAAATCGACAACCCATAGCCAGACTTGGCTGATCCGAGACCAACAAAGCAATGATCAATGTTTCTAGAGTTCGCCGAGTGCCATGGTGGTTTATCTCGACAACCATCTCGTGGTCTGTGGCTCGGCCAAGGCCGGCCCATCGAGGGGAAGTGCGGAGGATTCTTTCGGGCTGCAAATCGGAGGTGCTCCTCAGTGCAGCAGTGGCCTCGGCATATGCGACGTTCCCGCTGAAGAGTCAAGCCATGGGCCTCTCACATACCCAGCGAGCAGAGGCTTGACTTGCATAACAACAGTGAGTACAAAGACGACGGGCAACTGTTCCACTTTTGGGCAGGTGCTCTCTGCGTATCCCCTGCTTTACCTGGCCATGCTTTTCCCTGCTGGCGCAGCCTGTGACAGGTCCCAGCAAGTTGCTACAACATTCTGGCTTTGGGCATAGAGCTGACATGGTTCGGGTCATCCAAGCATCCTGCACGACAGGATGGAGGGGGCACGCCGGGCAATGGCACTGGGCTTGGCAGGACTGGCCGTTAGTGTTTGTGTGACTTGGCTTGAAGCAGTCATAAGTGCAGCAACTATTGAGAAGAATCACTGCTTTAAAAGTACAAGAAATCAACCGACCTAAGGGTTTTGGATACTCCACTTCTGTGGTGATGCTCGGCATGATGCGCAGTGCACAGGGCGCCTTGCCCCTTGTTTGTCCTTTCCCTTTGTTTGTCAGGAGTCACGTTTACACGCAGCGCAGCTTTCAGTCATGCAATAGCCCCACAATAACCACAAGCAGAGCAAGTCGAGCCGCGACAGCAGCAGCGATCGGGACGACAGTGACGGTGACCAAGCCGACGACGACCCGACAGCAATGACGACACTAACAACAACCGACACCACTACTGCAGCAAACAACTGCCACCGCCCCCACCACCACCAACAGCAGCAACAAAAAGAACAACATCCGCAACAACTCAACAACAACAAGAACAACAACCACAACGACCATCGCAACGACAACGACCACGACAAATAATAGAAAGACGAAACATAGCACCAGGAACAGCAACAGCATTAACAGGCAGGGCCACAACAGCCTCCAACGACATCCTGCAACCGCAACCACTACGATCAAATGAAGAAAGAAGCGCTAAGCCACTCCCGGACGGGCAGATGTACATTGTGAGTGTGTATTCGTCCTTCAGAGCATATGGATACTCGGATCGCGTTCAGACGTCTTTGTGTTCCCATCTTCGCACATGCGCCTAGGCTGCTTCGTAGGTCGTAGGGAGCTAAGGAGGGATTTTTGTTCACAAGCCTGCCATCGATATTTGCGTGAGGCCTAGCCAGTTCGGCGGCGGACGTTTCCTCGGCAGCATTCGTGGCTGCTGTAGCAGGGCCGAGGCAGGGCAGTCTCCTATCATGGCATCCAAAGCAATAAAAACAACCTAAGGCTTGGCTACATGGAAGGTGTTCTGGAGTCCTGCGAAGCTTTGGGTTGGATCCTGGGACCACCCATAGGCCAGGGATCCGGACAGGATCACGACAGGCAGCTTTGCGGCGAGTGCAATGAAAGGTGCCTTCTTGTACGACTCTGTGGGCTTCGCAGCAGCCAACTGCATTTGGGGTCTATTGGCCGCTGGTCTTGTCGCACCAGTCTTACACCTACCCGGACCCGCGCCGGAGGATGCATGCAAGCTGCTCGAGGCGGGTCTTTTTCTGTACAGGGTCAGTCATCTTTTGAGCTTGAACTGCTTGAGTGTAATTCGCAAGGAAGAGCCTGAGTTCGCAGATGTTGGAGAGGTTCAAAGCGATGCAGATCTGGTGAGTGGCTCGTCCTTTTCGGGGAGACCAATACCCGGGTATTACTATCGGAGAAGCACACACACTCTGGCCAGTAAGACAGTGGTAACCACGCGGTGAGCACTTGCAAGCCGAGGTTGTTCAAGGCTTCTGGTCCGCCTGTCGGCACAGGGAAGCCCCATCTTTGCCTATGGCACCATACTCAGATTCCAAGCATCTCTGGATCTCGGTATTGTTGGAACTGTCAGGTGCATGCAGCGGCGCCATGTACTCCGGACTGGCCTTGCACAACAGGGCCATAGGAACCCAGAAGAGCGCCTTACTTCAGTTGCTAGTGGCCGTGAGCTACCTTTTTGCTGCAGCTCTGCTGAAATTTCATCCTCACCGCAAGATGCTCGACCGATGTTCCAAAATGATCCGAGGGCCTTGTCAGATGTACAAGCTAAGGCCGAAACATGCTAACCACACTTCAGCAGGCCCTAGCCTGCAAAGCAGCCGAGGCACCGGTCGTGGGCAGACAGTGTGATGAATGTGCAGGAGACTCTGTGATTTGGCTCTCTGATGAAGGGAAAGATCTCGGAGACTGTTTCTCTGCTGGGAGGAGACTGGGCGGCCTTGAGCAAGAAGCTGGCTATCGGCTGGACCATTCTGTAGTTGGCCTGCAAATTCACGAGAAAAAGTTGCGCAGAATGGTTGATGCAGTTGTTGTTGTTGTCTGAGGTTCGTGGGTTTTGGACTCCTGGCCATGGATGCCGGCATAGTCAGCATGGCGCTAGGCTTGCTTTTCCTGGGCTTTGGGGAGGCCTTCGTCTTACTCCCTTCGTATCCAAGATTAACGTTGGAATGCCCTCACCGTCCCGGGCAGCTTTGATGCACTGGCACCATGGACGTTCGTGTCATGTGGCTGTGCCTTGTCCAGCGGAGAGAGCCTTCGGTAGACAGCAAAAGTAGGGGCTTCATTCCCCCACTCCCAGTCTCACTTCTGTGTTGAGGCAGTGGGCCTCATGATTCATCTCAGGTTAGTATCTGCCGTGTTCAACGGGATGTGGGCCCTTGGTCAGGCCGGGGCTGGTCAGCTGGTCCTTGAACGGCTATTGCTCTTGGGGGAATCCCGGTCACAGCACAATGCGCGTAGTACGACTAGGTCACCGACCGGATCTCTTTTCTTGCATGTTGAAAGCGTGGACACTGATTGCTGGCAAGAGGCCTCCGGACCATTCATTTTGGCGTTGGTCTCCTGGTCGCAGGTCCGTGCAACCGGGGTATTTAGAGACAGAGCCACAGAGAGCGAGAGGAAAAACACTGACAGCTGGTGGTGCACTCCTTCACTCCCGCTCCCTCAGACCCTTGGTGTCAGTCAGTACGAATGATTGAATTGGCTGGACGGTACGATGCACCACATGTTTGGGTTGTGCAGGTTTCTGTGAATCGTGTCTACTTCCGAAACCTGCACTACGCTGGACCAGATTCGTTCTGGTCAATCCTCCGCCCACCCCGCTTCGCCCCAGACTCCTCAGTATTGGGGACATGGATGTCTGGCCGTTTGGCAAAGATGAAAGTTCAAAGCTGTAAGCCTATCCACATGGGGCAATGTTTTCGAGAGGCGTTCTGCGAAGAAGGCATTGCCTTCCATCAATACAGGGCCCTTTCTTTCACTGACTCATTATGACTATGCTGAGAATTCCTGGGCGGGGGCACGAAGTAGCCCCACTGCTCGTGGGAACGTTCGTAAAAGTTTTACCTGATGCTAAGGAGAGAGGAAAGTCGGGGGGGGCAACAATCCCTGGAGTGTTACTGTAGCCTGGCTATTGTTTTGGAGCTGATTGGTCCTGAAAGGGAAAGCCGGCCCGCACTGCAGACCAGTTGAGAAAGGCCACGGATGACTGGAGTGATACCCGGAGGGTTTCGTTGGTCATGGTTTGGCATGGTTGGTTTGGGGCCCGGGGGTAACCGAAGCACTCGAGGGAACGTGCCTGTCATCCGATCCCGAAAAGGCCTCGAAGACGCACAGATGCGAGCCATGTGGGGTTGGCCTTCAGGCCGGGGTGCGTGCACCCGGACCCCTTCGCAAGCAAGCAAGAGGGAGAGAGAGATCTGTGAAGTGAAGTGAAGCGGGGGAGCGGTCCCCGTTTCCAACCAGTCGCAGTATAAAAGGTGAGCTGCAGCAAGATCCGATGTGATTCAATTCCGCGGTGGTTGCAATCATGCCCCAGCATGCCTTCAGCTGGAAGGGGGTGCACCCGGGCAACTATGATCGCATGCTTTTCCCAGTCGGGCCACTTTCGAGGTGGGAGAGGAGATGAGCGCGCAAAACCTGAAGCGCGGAAAGAGATTAGAGACCTGGTTAATGGACTTTGACGTGCCTAAAGCTGGCAGCACAAAAAAGGAGATCGCAGCACCCCATGTTCGATCCGCAAAGGCCACTGTTCACTACCTCAGAGAAACATAACTCGGCCGCTAGATGGCACGCAAGATCGAGCATCAAGCCTGTGCAGGCTGAGATCCTTGCCAGCTGCCTGTCATTGTGCCTCAACTGCATCGGATCGAGCTTCCTAGATCGCAAATCCCCAGTATGCTCTATCTATCTATCTATGACTATATGCCACACACTACTCATACTCGACTAGACGAGGTTATTTTGCGCTATACTGCACAATTCTACTGTGCAGATGCAAGGCTGCCTGCATGGCTGCTTGCCTTGTCACCTGTTTCGCAGCTACCTGTTGCCCAGGATGCTGGCTGGCCTATTCGCTGCACTGTGCTTGATGCAGAAGTGAAATGGCCTCAATTCAAGCGACTGAGTGCACATCTCGCCTTGTAAATTGGGCATGATGCAGCTACGCAAGCACAGCGACGGCAGGAAGAGAGAGCAAAAGCTAGCTCCTCAATTGATCTGCAATAAGCGCTGGCCATACCGGCGTATACTGACTAGGCCAGACCTAGTTGGACCGACAGCTTCGACCAAAGAACGTCCAAGCTGACGTGCAACGAGACGAGTGCCTGCTGATTCAAGAACAAAAAAAGATGCGGTTTGTTCAAAAGCTCAGCAGGCATCCATGTTTTGCATATCTATAGGGAGCCGATGCCCTCACCCCCACCCTGCGACAAAGGCCAACAGAGCAACAGAGAGTACCGAATGACACAGTGAGCAGCTGTGGCCGTAATGTGATGATAGCCCAAAACCCCATTTGCACGATCCATGAGATCGGGCTTACCTGCATGGGCTGGAGGGGCCGCGCTCAGCTCATGGAGGGTGCATTCCAGGCTGTCGGGGAGCTTTGCGGCAACTTTCAGATGCGGTTGGACTTGCAAAAGTGGTTTTTGGCGAGGGGCAATCGATTCATGCACGCTCATCTCATTTTGTGTTTGCCATGAGCAGGGCCGAGCCTCTTTGCCTCTCAGTGCATGGGTGAAGGGCTCAGTGTCCATGAGTTGTTCTGCCGTGGAAGTTGTAGCGTTTGTGATGTCAATATGCTCCCAGTGATTCATGCCGGGTCATGCAGCGATAAAAATGAGGCTCAACACCTGCAAGGGTCGAAAGCCATGGCGACTCAATCTTATGTTAAAGGGGAGGTTGTGGAAGTGTGGAGCAACTCCCTGAAATCGTGGATCTCTGATGCTGTGGTTCTGGAGGCTCCGGACCGGGACTGCGTCATAGATGGGTACGCAATTCCTGCAGGTGCCGTCAAGGTGACATCTTCTGCTGGGACCAAATGGATCCTGCCAGACCAAGTTCCCTCTGCACTTCGGAAGGTCCAGGGTGGCGACGTCCCGCCCTCCGAGCCTCGCTTGCCACCTCTGCCAGATGCCAAGCCGGCGGAAGCGGCTAAGCCGAAACCTGGCATGTGCAAGATGGGATGCGGTCGCCCAGTGCAGCCCGGCCTCACAAGAGGCATGAAGGCTTTTGACACCTGTTGCAAAAAGTGTGCACAGGGAAAGGGTGGTCACGACAGCAATTGCGGAGGTAGCACAGCAAAGCCTCTTGCAAGGTCAATCACCACTGAAATCGACGACCCACAAACTTGGTTGCTCGACCTTCTGTCTTCTGCGGACAGTTTCAATAAGTATGCCAGCAAGATTGTAGCCACTGTCTCCGGAGATGCCGGCACACTCAGCGCAGCGCAAGCACAAGACGCAGTGTCGAAACACATGCTGCGACCTATTGGTACAACCCTCCCGGTGGAAATGCGTGCCGCAGAGGATTGGGTCAGCAGACATGGCGAGGGCGGAGTGTTGGATGTCCCAGCATTTACGAAGCTGGCGCATCAGATTCTGCAGGATCGAGTTCGAGCTTGGTTCCCTGAAAAGCTAGTGGCGAAGACCCACAGCTTCGTCCGCCAGAACCCTGCGCGTGTTGAAGCTGTTTACGAAGTCGGCAAGCTCCTGGGTGAAGGAAGCTTCGGAAAGGTTTACACGGTACAGCATCGCATTTCCGGTGAGTCCAGAGTGTGCAAAAAAATCGCAAAGCTTAAGGGTAAAGAGGGTATGAAAGTGGAAGAAATTCTACAAGAGATTGAGAGCATGGCGACACTTGACCACCCGAATGTCATCAAAGTCTACGAGTATTTTCAAGATAGGGACAGCGTGTCTCAGATTATGGAACCCTGCTATGGCGGAGAGCTACAAGATCGGATCAACGAAGTTTTCCAAAAAGGCAAACCTTGTTACGCAGAGGAGTTCGTGTGTGATGTCATGAAGCAAACGTTGCGAGCGCTGGCCTTCATGCACAGCCACAACTTCATGCACAAAGACCTCAAGCCACAGAATATCATGCTTGTCAGCAAGGATTCAGCTTCAATCAAGGTTATCGATTTTGGTTTGGCTGAGCTATTTGAGCCAGACCAGAAGCATTCAGACGCTTTTGGCGGCACGCTTCTGTACATGGCTCCAGAAGTTTTCAGACTCAAGTTGGAGTTCAAGTCGGATATTTGGAGTGCCGGAGTCATTCACTACAACCTGATGACAGGAGACTACCCATTTATGGCAGCATGGCCGTTGCCGAAAGGTAAGACCATGGAATGGTGGCAGACAGAGCTCACGCGATCAATCTGTGAAGACAACTTCCGAGACAACAAGCACTTGAAGACATGGACCCCGGAAAGCAGAGACCTGATGCGCCAGATGCTGGATAAGACTGTGGCTTGCTTTGATGTGAAGCAGGACTTGGTTCAGATGCAGTCTAGCAGAGTCTAGCATAGAGACCCTACCATCCCTGAATGAGAAATGACTTGCATGACTGAGGTGAGCAAGAGACCCGATGCAGCTGCATGCTTGGATCATGCGTGGTTCAAGAAGCACGAGACCGCTCCCCCTCCTCTCTCTGTTGGCATTACCCAATGCTTGGACGCGTATGCAGGACAGCCCGAGTTGAAGAAGGCTGTCTTCCTTCTCATCGCACATATGTGCACTGCACCGGCATTGAGTGAGCTGCGTGCCATCTTCACCCACTTCGACACCCTCAATCAGGGATGTTTGGTATCCTCTGACTTCCGGGATGTCCTGTACAAGTCTGGAATGTCACCCCTGCAAGTCGAACGCATTGTACATGCGCTGGATCAGGAGTGTCCTTTTCGCGCTGCTGTGTCGAAACACGTTAGCATTAGCATAAGCCTTGCACGTAAGGATTGAAATACAGCCACTTCCTTTCCAGACCATGTCTTGGGCAGGATCGCAGCGGCACGGTGACGTGGACGGAGTTCATCGCGGGAGCTTTGTGCGTCAGCGTTTGTGGCAACAAGCGGTTGGTAGAAGCTGCTTTTGCCGTTTTCGACAAAGACGCTGACGGCAAGATTTCACAGTCTGATCTCGAAGACATGTTTGCAAAAGGCGATGTGGAGGCCTTGTGGAAAAAACATTTGCCACGCGAGCTGCAGTTTATGGGCGACGCAGGCGCTGACGGAAAATACCTCAAGGAGCAGTTCGTGCAGTACATGGGGAGGAGAATGCAGGTTACTTCAGGTGATGCTCTGGCAGCTGTGAAATGATATGGAAGCTTGATGGCGAAATCCATTGTAGCCACGCTGCCCGTCATGTTTCACGCATTTCTGCAAGTGAGCTTCAAAAAACACGCAGCACTTGTTTGTCGCATTTTTGTCGTCTAAGCTTCGGCTCACTTGCTGGCTAACGTACACGCAGAACTTGCGGCAGGCAACCAAGCCAGATGCCAGTACACTTCGGCATGTGCTGTGCAAAGCACCACGGAGCACAGAGCACAGATTTAAGCACCGAAGTTGGCACGAGGGCGCGTTCCTTTGCATCCTTGAGTGGCATGCAGTAATGTGCAAGAGACGTGCCAGAGACTTTTCGTAAATGGAGCGGGAGACCTGAATTCTACACGCTTGAAAGCCTCCTTGCAAGCCCCAGGTGAGCCTGCGCTACGAGAGCGCATAGCCGCGTTGGAGGCTTAGTATTGGTTTGGCAAGGCTGGCTCATGTGCGGAAGTCAAGACAAGCATTGCGCGGTCAGTCATGGCCTTTGCCTGCACAGGGACACCTTTGATTATCCGCAGTCCAAGATCTTTTGCCAGGTCAGGTGGCTGGCAAGTCACAAAGCAGCTTGGGAGAGGCCAGCCTGAGTGTATTGCCGCGTGCAGCGACTCAAGAAGGTAACAAATCACAAAAGACAGGGAACGAAGCTGACCACACTGGACTCGCCTATCGAGGCTCAAAAGCAAATGAGGACTGCAGTCCTGAAGGTTTGTCAGGAACGTAAGACAGGGCTGCCGCGATGGGCCGGCATCATGTTGAAAGCCGCCTTTGTCATGGAGCGAGTCTGAAAGGAGACGGAACTGCAGAAGAGAGGCGCGTGGATCTTACGCTAGACGAGCGGCGGTTCCTTTGGAATCGCTGTGTTCAAAATCGAAACTTGTTTCCATTCAGAGAGACATTCCGAGAATGATTCGGGCGAAGGAACAACCTGCCGATTCCATGCGATCGCACACAGACAGTATCAGGACAATGTCCGACCTGCAACAACACAAATCCAGACAAGATCACACTCAGAACAGGCAAGTTGCTGCTCTGCTGGAGGCATGTCAGGTCAATCACCGACTGGCCATGCAGAGGAATTCAGGTCTTAACGAACTTTGGATCACGCATTTCAGGCTGTGATTCGGAAAGCAATTCCCTCCCAAACATGGTGGCAGGCCAGTATGGAACCGCATACCTCGTGTCCTGGGACGAGGAGAAATGTGGAGAAGAGCGTCGGGCCCTGAATGGTAGTGCTTCTTCGGCTTCTTCTGCTTGCAAGCCGCGACATCGACTGATGGCTTTTACCGTGACGAGATTTTAATGGCCCGATGCCTGGGCATTGCCGAGGAAAGGGCCAGTACAAAGATGGAGACCAGGCAACGACTAGCTGTGCGAGCCTGCCACCCGGCATTTGTGAAGAGCTGCTGCTTGCAACAAGAGGCTGTCGCCAAAGTGGTGGGACTCGAGTTCCTTCCGGAGAAGGCAGTCCATGAATCAAGCTTGATCTTCGCAGTGCCTGTAAGCCGTAAGCCATGCGTCACTGTGGGTGTGAGGAGCACAACTTCGCCTTCCAGGAAGTGGAGCTCATGAGGGCTCTGCGAGGAACTTAATTGGCTAGCAGGAGAGGCATTACAACTGGCTAGTGGCAATAGTTGGGGTAGATTAGTAGGAGCAGGAGCGCTGGCGCCTGATGCATTCTGATTTAGCGGTTTTCCCGCGCTTCTGCTCAGCCATCAGAGGCGCCACCCCCATATCGTGGCACTCCGAGACCATTTTCTGACAGAGGCACTGGTAGCGGGATGTCCAGCTGAGATCGCGCTTCGAAGAACAGACATCCCTTTTTGTTCAGGCCAGCTTAGAGCTCGTCATAGCTGGTGCCTCAGGATCAGGATGTTCACACTTCAACCTTTTCACGATGACGTTGGAACCGGAACTCGCCAAACATCACCAAACTCTCTACCGAGAGAAAGCAGCTCCTTCTCTGTCATGGATCGTATCAACATCCCAGTTTACACATCGTTTGTTTCCCGGGCTCCTTGGCGAGGCTCGAGTCCAGGCTTTGCCGGAGGTGGCGTGAGAGGAAATGCTATTCCCCGGTTCCAACAGCACTCCTGTGCACTTTGATTTGTCTTATCTGCAACTCTTTGTTCGCCCGTCGTTCGCTGAATAGCAGGGACACTCGCATAGTGCCGCTGGGTCGCCTTGTGCAGTTGGTGCGAGAGAGTCTGACAGTTCAATATGATAACTGTGTCCCTTGCCTGCCCTAAACGACTCGCAAGAGTCAACAGACACGTACGGCAAGATCTTTCGGGCGTCCAGGTGCCAATGTCTTTGCCATGGTCTGCCATCAGATGTCCACCCACCAAGTGGCTGAAAGTTCCGGAACACAACTTGTGTTTGAAGTTGTTGGCTGCTCGAGTTTGGAATGCTTCTTTCGTCTCGGTCGATTTCATGACATAGCCGATCCTTTGTCGTGGCCACAGTCGGGCTGGTTCTTACTGCGTGTACGTTGCGGCTCCGGGCAGAGTCTCCTTTTCGTGGTTACTTCTCTGCTCGCCCCATTGACAGAAAATGAAACACAGTGGCCACTGGGGTGCCGTTGGAGATTGGCCTGACCAAGCCAGTTCAGGAAGGTGATCATGACCTGATATTGAATGCTCAAGCTCAAGGGACAACCCACAGAGTCAGTATGATCCCGACCGAAGCATCCGAGCTCGACGGGATAGCAGCAGTTTATATGCGTTGATGAGGTCATGGAGTTTTGCGACAGCGGGGACCTCCGAGGGGAGGTCAAGCGACGGACACAGGTGGGTTTGTGCCTGCGAACTTGCAGCGTCCTACCTGACATTGCTGCTAACAACTTATGAATCTACACGTGGGCAGCTTGTGCCATGAAGACAGTACCTGTTGGTTTTACAGAGCCCCTGAGAGGGCGGGCTTCAGGATTAGCAATTGAAATCAAGCTGGCGTGCTGCCACAGGACCCTGAATTCGCCATAGCTGCACGCATTTTAAATAGAACTCGCTTCCTTGGCCACGGCTCCGACCAGACCGCAGCAACGAAAACCGAAAGGAAGGGAGCCCGGCACAGAGCTCCTGCTCCCAGGATCTCTGGGGCCCCCACAAGAGTACTGGAGGGCATTGAGTTCAAACTGCCGGCTCGGACGACTTGGCCTGTCTCAACACACAGATAGGGTTCCGTAGCGCAGCAGCGCAGCTGCGTGGCTTTACCGCTGTCAGCCCTGTCAGGCGAAGCCACCCAACCTACTTCCAGAAGCCACCATCATGACTTGGTTCGTGCAGATGACACTAGCGCTCAACTACATGTGCTGCCGGCTTGATTGTGCCAGCTGAGCAAAGACACCGCTGAGCATGCGAGCTGATTACGGCTTTCCCGTTCTGGGCCCCGTGATGCATGCACCTGCTCTCCTTTGGCGCAAAGCTTTGAGCATGAGCGATGCCCCCAAAATTCTCGATTAGGTTTCCAGCAGGTAAGGAGCTTCATATTTCATATGTCTGAGCGAACATACCGCTGACAGGCACTGGGACAACCGGGATCCTTCGAGACTCACCAAGCCTAATGTTTGATGTGCTCGTAGATGGAACCAGTGACGAATCTAAAGGATCGCAACAAGGGGCTTGAACATCCAGTGATGCATGAAATTCGAAGTCGAAGCCGACACAAGAATGGCCAATGTCATCGGTGCCGGCTGCTCGGAGAGCTTGCCAACGACAGCAGCTCCCACTTCGCAGGACCGGAACCCGCTGAATCTGGAGAACACGAGCTGGACTTGCTGGAGCTGGATTCAGCAGCCTTGGACAGACACTTCCATTCACAGCTGGGCTGTGCTGAACATATTGCGGCCTCACTGCACAACTGCACGGGCCTGCTCGGTTGCAGCACTGTCTCTTTTTGTGGTCATCCTTCAGGGGACCATGCTGCATTTACTGCAGCATGAAGCATACTTTCCAGCATGCTCTGCTCAAGCATCCTGCCCCCTGGGCACAGCGTGCACCTACCATCCCTCGGGGCTGCGCTGCACACCATGCCAGGTACGTTCAGCAAGCTTTGCTTAGGTTTCTTTCTGGTGTTTGTGCGCAACACAACCCTCTGCCCGAAAACGCCCAGTGTATGCTAGGCCCCAACAGTCGCTGTTCATTGTTGGCCAGGGATTTGCACACGACCGCGGCGAGATCCTGCGACTGCTCGGGGTTGACGGCGACAGTGTCCCCTCTGCTTCTTGCCAGGCAGTGACGCCGTGTACGACGTTTCTTTGCACACAACATGCAGATCTAGTTCGCGCAGAGCCCAAATCGTCATGGCTTGTCCTTAATCCTCGTGGTTTGTAAGATCCGTGGCCAGGACGTTATCAACGGCAGCGTCGTGGATCTTGAAATCCCCGCACTCATTTCCCACAGGCGCAGGATCACACCCTCAGCTCAAAGTAGTTCTGAAGAACATAGTCACAGATGGTATTGGCTTGAGACCCCCTACCAGGCAGACACCGACAGAGACGGACACGACACTACTCCGACATGCCTGCGACATCCAAACAAGATGCCTGCAAAGCGACAGGCTCGAGTTTAGGTGCGATTACATTGTTTACAACCACGCAGCTTGGAGACTGGGCAGTAAGATTTTCCTGACAGTCGTGGCTTTGTTGGCATGGGCCCCAATGCTGAGAAGCATGCGTACAGCCGCGACCGAAGAGCACATGCTGAGCAATCTCTTCGATGCGACAGATGAGGTATCTTTGGGTATTTGTGCCGCTGTTTTCCACCTGTCCCTGAGCTTAAAAGCAAGAAGAGAGGTGCTCGTTTGGATCATGGTCACCACAGTTGTGGCTGTGACGGCCAGCGAAGCTCCAGTGTCTGCTAATTTCTTGGTGGCAACTTTGGGTCTGTCGCTGTTTACGTCCGCAGACTGCTTGTGGGCGCAGCTTTTGTTAGGACCAGCAGCATATGCGGAACTGCAGGGACACATAACAAGCTGTCACATGCCACAGCTAAACCCGTCAGAAGCTTGCCGCGGTTTGGCAAGCATCGTGCTCATGCTTCTGCTGACTTTTCACCTGGAAGATGCGCTGCGCCTGGGATCCCCTGTGGTTGAGTATTGGGGCCTTGGAAGTGGACAGGACCCTTACCAGTTTCGAAGAAGTTTGCTTCGTTCTCTGCATAATCAGATATGCGCTAGTTACATAGGAAGTAGAGTGTCATCCACGCTGTTTCCTAGTTGGCCACGCGGTATGTTTGAAGTGCAAGGATTGCGACATGGTGCAAGGCGTCCTGGAGTTCATAGTGATATCTGCAGCCGCCGTATTGAACGCACTGTTCACTATAATGGCTACCTTGGCGACCTGGAGAAACCAGGAATGTCAAGCCCCGCTGCAGAGTTTGCTCTGCAACGTGCTTCTTTCCTGGATATCTTTGCTTTGGCTCCTTGGAACAAGCCGACTCCTGGTACATTTCGCTTCAGGCGGAGGGGTCATACACATGGTACCCTTCTTGCTGTTTCTTTTTCCCGGTGCGGTGTACCCTTGGTGGATGGCATTTCGATTCGCCAAACGCTCAGGACCGGCAGCATAATATTCAAGCTGTGGTAACATGCATACAGATGGTTCTCCAAATTCGGGTGCAGTTTAGGTTCCCGAAAGAGTCCGTACTGTGGCAATAGGACCCGTATTCCTCGCGAGGATAGTAAAGTTAGTCAGAATTCTCTTTTGAGCCTACAGGACAAACACTGGACGCAGTGTGCTTCACAGGATTGGTGAACGCATTCAACCGCTCAAAACGTGGCCTTCGTTCGTCAAGCGCCACCGAGTATCCTGCGCTAAGCTTCCGCATGTAAAAAGTGCCTTCAAAAGGCAGAGTGGCAGAGCAGTTGAGCTGTTGCCCTGTTATGGACCAAATGGTGTCGCATAATCCCCGGGCCAACCCACTGATTGGATGAAATGGTTGTGTTGCATCTAGCTGAACTGCACTTTGCACCCGCATTTACGGTGACTCTTGCTGCTGCCGCTTCTGCAAGGCATCAGCGTCATATCCTTCACAGAGATCTCAAAAGCCAGAACCTTTGTTGCCGAGTTGCGAGAGCGCAAGGATGATGTCAGTGAAGTTCTGGAGTAGCGGCATTTCTCTGCGCATTTGAACCTCAAATGTGAGGTTCCAACGTTTTCCTGACAACCGCACCGTCTGGCAACGGCGACTATGATGCTTTGATCCTACCGTGTCTTGAGAATAGGCATAGTGCAGTAACTGACGATTGGAAAGACGGGGCGGCCTAGCCATGAAGTGCACGGCCCCACCGAAGGAGAAGGAGAGTCCATCAGAAGATGCTGTGCCTTTTTTGTTAAGGTCCGGATTGGGGATTTCGGCATCTCCCGGGTCCTCGAGGGCACGGTCGACGTTGCGGCAACTGCTTCTGGACTGCACTGTCGTGCGGCAAGGGCACGTGTATGTCAGAGTCATGCTGAGTCACCCTTGTTTTTGCTAAGGTCGTCGGAACACCGTACTACATGTCTCCCGAGGCTTGTCGGAGGGATGAATCAGGATGATCCACCCTCAATGCAAGTGTTGGCTGAAGAGAGCAGCTGGCAAGTCTTGGAAAACCTTCTGGTGCCCCGAAATTGTAAGCATTTGGCTCGCGCTACTGTGTGCTCTAATCGCCTCCCTGTGGCATATGCAGTGGCTTGCAAACATCCTTGTCTGCATAGCTGAACGCCAGCTGAGTGCCAGGCAGATCCATGGAGACCCGAAGAACCACAGCATACTTCTTCCAGACATCTTAGCGCAGCATGAAATCAACAAGTGTTTCATCCTTGGAACATTCGCAGGTCTGCAAGGCTGAGCCGTATGGTTACAAGTCGCTTCCTCGAGATGGGTTCTGGATGATTCAGTCAATGCTCAAGTGTGCTACGGACGACGAGTCACGGTACGTGGAGTGCACTTAGACAAGTTGGTCTGGTGGTTACGCCTGGCTTCCATGTTCTTCTGCAGCCCCGGCTGGCAACCTTTCTACCTGACTTCAAAGCGCTTTGACCAGGAGCGACATATGGGCCCTCGGCTGCGTGCTTTACGAAATGTGGCGGCCCTAAGTCGTGCAATTCAGTGGGAAGCACGGAGCCTGTAGATGAAGACCTGGATTCGTTGTTTCAGGTGCATGTTGAAGCACGCCTTCGAAAGCCAGTCGCTGCAGCGGCCCCAGCAATGCTGGTGCATTCTGAGAATTGGAGCCAGGAGTCACAGCCAGGAACTGTGCATTGGGCATTATACTGGAGATGCCACACAGCTGCCCATGTCTAGTCCAAGCGAAGACACTGACCAATTGTCAGACACCGAGCAGAGCCAAAGCCAAGCACTAACATGATGCCACCCACATCTAAATTTTGCAGTCCTAAATTAATGGGTCAAGCAGCCTCGCACTTGGCATGGGCCTGGGCCGGTGCGTGCATTTTTCAGCGAGGCCCGCATCTGCAGACTGTCCGAGTTTGATATTGTCTCTCATCTGATTGGGGTCGATGTTGCTGTCTTTGTGCTGGCTGAAATGCGCAGTTACAGCATCCAGTGATAACATATAGCCATACTCTGTTAGCGATTGCAACTTTCCAGTGCCACGCGTCAGCGTCACACGTCCCAAGCATCCGTTCCACCTGATCGCGAGAAGGTGATATGCTTGATCACGAGAGTTGTTCTGTACAGCTGTCAGCAGACCCCAATGCCAGCCTCTTACGAACACAACATGGGGGGCTGGGCGGGCCAATGAATGGCCTGAGGGTCGCTCGGACGCCCTCTAAGCCCTGCAGAAAGAAAGAGAAAGAGTGGGGGAGAGCCATGTAGAGTAGGACCAGCTGCTGCCAAGGGGTCCAGATGAATATGTGAAGTGTTAAGGTGTGTAGCTTTGACTGTCAGGGGGGCCCTCAGCTGTGTGTGCGGTAGGAGGTAATCCTGTCAACAGCGAGTGACTATGAAGACGTGCTTGCATTGCGCAAGTGTGCAAGTCGAAACAGCGAGTGACTGACAGTTGCATACTGAGAGTATTGCATGCGGAGTGTTGTGTTGTCGTATGTTGTCGTGTGCAGTGGAGTCAATTTGCTGAGTAGTCGTGATGTTATGTCAGAAAGGATTGTTGATCCCTGAAACCGCCATATGTAACTACTCACCATGTCAATCAGGGGGAAACATCCAGCTTTCACACGAACAACAGGGGGGGCCCTTGTGGCCGACGGGCAGACACCCCTAATGCCCCGGGCAAGAAGAAGAAGAGATCGAGCCAAGCCTGAATGCCTGGCAACGGGACTACAAAGCTGGTAGGTGCAATCAGAGCAAGGGTTCCGATGCCCCTAAGAGTTTCCAAAAGAGTAGCAGTCATCACTGTCAGCACACGGTTGAAGTCATGTTGTGCGTTGTCATGGCTTGCTATGTTTTGCCTGGCGGCGATGTAACCAAAACCAAGCAGCTCGTGTCAGCTCAGCAGAACCATCCGTTCTAAGCTGCTCTGGACACCGGCAGGTGTGCCCGCAGGTGCCACCTTGGCTGTCGGAGATGCGGCTGTCAGTTGCCGAACACCTTGTGGCCTTTATCGCCGGCTGCGTCTTGAGACCACTGGCACCTATCAGCTGCAGGAGCCCCAAGGCAGGTGGTAAAGATTCGACATATGGAAATAAGAAGCAGGTGGGGCAAGACCAATATCCGACAATATGCAATGTGAGGTGCTGGCTGCCTCTGCGGCGCGGTGAGGCTGAGGCATCGCCAAGAGGATCTTCGAATCAAAGCTTGTCGACTTGATGATTCGCCTCCTGCAACTTTATGCGTTAAGTCGATCAGACACCCAAGTGCAATATCGGAGCACCTGTCAGATTGCAAGAGCCTCCCATCCGGCTCATGCACTGTCACTGCAGCATGTGCCGGCGACAGGCAAGGTGAGAGCATTTTTCTGATCCACCTTTTCCAACCTGCCACTAGGGCGGTGGTGCCTTCATGACCTGGGCCGCATACCCGGATTTGGCGATCGAGGTGCTTCAAGGCAAGTCAGCAAATATGTCGTTCTGTATTGTTGAGTTGGTGATGGGGCCTTCCAGAGGCAACGCTGCGCACGAACAAAGAAACACAAGCAAAATGGGTTTTGCTAGGATGCACGGTACATGAAACCTGTCGCAGCTGCTCCTCAAGCCAACCAAAAGTGGGACAGACCGCGACGCCGCGCCAGGGTGTGCACTGCGTTTCGTGCCCATAGTCAAGCCTGGTGTAAGAAAGAAGAAAGAGAAGCAAGCAGGCACGAGAAAACTTCCAAGCCTCCACCGTTGTCCTCTGAACGATAGACGGCGTGGGGGAAACGGATCAGCCTAGGGCCCACCTGAACACGAGCAAAGCCAGGAGCACTCGATGCCGCAGCAGTTTTGTTGGAGGAAGCCGGGCACACTCTGCTGCCGTCGTGGGTCCACTGCTTGCAGCGAGAGCAGCAACCATGACCACGCGAAAGGGGTGGTTGGGGTAAAAACTCGAGGACTTCATTCAACCCAAAGAAAGGACCAGAGGAGATGGGTCCCAGCGCCAGTCAACTCAAGCTGAACGAGGAGAACACCGACAGTCTTTGATGATAGGGAGAACGAGCAGAGGGCCATACCCGGCGAGAAAGAAGCACGAGCGAGTGCCGCAAAAGCAACGGGAAGGACGACCTCGACCGCAGCTGTGAGGAGGACCGAGGAGGAGTAGACGAGGAGTGCGAAGAGCCTTTGACTTACGGATGTAGGCACATGTGCCTGGGCCAGCACGCAAGCAGGCAAGCAAGAAGAGGAATAACGTGTGTGCACGCGCGTGTATGCATGCATGCAAAACATTTGTGTATCTGTGTACTGTAAGCGTCTGTCTATGTATGTATAATGTAGCTGCGTGGGCATGTATGGTTGGGATCGCGCGTTTTGAGCGTGTGTGTGTGTGTGTGTGTGTGTGTGTGTGTGTGTGTGTGTGTGTGTGTGTGTGTGTGTGTGTGTGTGTGTGTGTGTGTGTGTGTGTGTGTGTGTGTGTGTGTGTGTGTGTGTGTGTGTGTGTGTGTGTGGGGTGTGTGTGTGTGTGTGTGTGTGTGTGTGTGTGTGTGTGTGTGTGTGTGTGTGTGTGTGTGTGTGTGTGTGTGTGTGTGTGTGTGTGTGTGTGTGTGTGTGTGTGTGTGTGTGTGTGTGTGAGAACCTCCCTAGCACATGGGAGCAGAGGGTCACTCCTACACTGTTTGCAATTTCGCTTTTCAACACAATCCGGCATTGGACATTTACTAAATCAACTGTTGCAGGGGGGCAGGACATCTTTAGCAGTGCCTGCCCAACGAAGAGGCTGCTAAGAGATGCTGATGCGACAGAGGACGCTCTGTTGTGTACCTGCAAACACAGCTGAGGCCCCTGAGCCAGCAAGATTAGAAGGCCCCTGTGCCAAGATTAGAGAGTTTTCAGTTGCCACTTTTGGTGGTTGATTTGACAACAAACAAGTTGTACGGTTGCCACAATCTGACAAACTTTTGCAACATGAACAACATGCCTCTCTTTTTCCTCTTGCACTCGTACTCTTGGCCGAATCCATCAGTGTGATCAGCGTGGGTCGATGAGACTCCAGAGCAACGGCTTTCCGTCATGGCGCCGTGGTGACCCTCCGGGGAGACCGGTGATGAACCGGGTGTTCAGCCTTCGTTCAGATCGTTCAGAATCTCCAGATGCTACTTTATCTCTCTCTCTCTGATGCTCGCATGTGAGTCTGACGGTGCAGTAAGGGGACGGCTAATGCAGTAAAGTGCGTCTAGTGAGCAGGTGCTACCTCTCTCGTCTGCCCCGTATTTCACCGCTTCTTTATTCCTCAGGGACTACAAGGGCATGTGCATCTGACATGAGTGCAGACGTGGTAACGGTGTCTACAGCAAGTGAAACAGCGCTCTCTTCGGAGAGTACTCGGCCCTCTTCCTTCTCTCCGTCTACGACCTCTCAAATCAGTCCAGCAGGGACAATCAGGACAGCCTGCACTTTGCTTGTGCAACTGTGTTTGTTTCACCCACTTCGTTGCAGCTATGTGGCCGGATTATTTTGCCGCGCAGCCACCAGCAACACCATATGCACCAACAGCCCGACCGGTGCTGAATCAATTTCACCCGAACACCTGGGTACCGCAGTCACAAAGCTACCCAGCAATGATGCCAACTGGCATTGCTGCCACTCAGCAGCCCACACTGCCGACACAACCCACTACGATTCCTGTTGAGCAGACGCACAGCTTCCCCATGATGCCGTGTGGACACACTGCTCCTATTCCACAGCATCCGACGGTATATACACATCTCAGCACACCACAACCCCAGATGCCACAACAACCTCCACCCCAGCAATTCATGTCACAACCCCCCCCCCCGTTCTTGAACCCTGCTCTTTTGCCTACCCATCCAACAGTTTTTCCCACGAGCCCATCTACTCTGACACCGCATCAGCCCCAGCCTACCACATACAACCTTCCTTTTACACCACCTGCTCCACAACCCCAACCTGCACCTTGCAACATCCCGTCCACACAACCCACTCAACAACCCCACATACCGCCGCCAACAACAATCCAACAAGCTCCACAACTTCACCCCATCAGTGTTCCCACTACCGATGCTGTACACACTGCCCCGCAGACACCGGCAATGACTCCCCAACAACAACCAACAAACACAGCCAACACCCCTTCCGCCAGCACAGTGCCACCCACACAACCACCCCCGGCTACGGGATCGGCAGACACTGACCAGTTCGCAGCACGTACTTCTCCCCACCACCCTCCGTTACCACGCAGGCGACGGCGCTCACCCACACGCAGCAGAACTCGCACCGTGAGCACTAGACGCCGACGACACACACGCAGCAGAGCACGACCTGCAAGCAGCGGCAGACAGCACCGCCGACGCAGACACCACCGATCCCGCGACACTCGCAGAAGCCGCTCTCGCAGGGACACCAGGCGATCTTCATCGACACCTCCCCGGACCTCGGTTGTGCTCCGCAGCTATTCTACAGTGCGTGATGATGATGCCAACAAGTGGCATTACAGAGCCACACAGCCACGTCAGAGGCCACCTACCCCACCCAAGGTCCCACAAAGGACATTGGCCTCGCAGGTTCAGCGAATCGCCCTTCGCATCAAGGGCAACCAAGCAGCACAACAGCAGCCCCCAACAGGCCAGGGCACATCCTCTCGCCAACAGTTTCAGCACAATCCCCCCAGCTCTATTCGGACACCTGCCCCGACTTTTGATGCATCCACAACTGCTGCCCCATCGGGTCAACCAACCCTCGAACAACTGGGCAAACAGAGCAGACCACCACAGATTGATGTGACGCCTTTCTCTGAGCTTTACGATCATGAAAAGCCGACCCCCCACGCTGTCGACATGGAGGAAGCACATAAACTCGCCAAAACCTTGGGCGAGATAGCTGCTGACAGCGATTTCAGGCAGGAGACTTTAGCCGAATTTGCACATGCCGTGCTACAGTCGGGCACGCGATCAGCGTGCAACGAACTGGGGGCAACGCTGACGCCAATATCGGACGGCGTACATACTATGTTATTCATCCCGTGGGCTGGAGAGACCCGCAGAGCATTCGGCACTCGCGCCACAGACCCACCAGGGGAAACATACATCTACACCGCCGGACACGGCACGAGCATTGCAAGTGCCGCGCGCATAATGCGCGAGGACTTGGTCCGCCCAAGTTCAGTCAGCCATTGCTTCGACGACAAGTCCTATCCACCCATTCCCTCTTGCGTCATTTACGGGAATGCGACCCCAGGAGATGTATCGGAAAGCACGGTACATATAGTTACCGATCAATGTACACGGCGGCCCAAGGGCCAACAGGGAGTGATCGTCATCGGGACAATACGGACTAAGTATCAGCATTACAAGATGACGTATCGGGACATGTACAGAGAAGCCTTCATCGTGGGGCGAAAGGGTGTCGTGCGGACCCCAGAGAAGTGGGGATTCCACTCGGGGCACTTCAGCATCGTTGGATTCGGCCTCATTCAGTGATGTTGCTTTCTTCTTTTTTCTTCCGTGTATTCCCTTAACTCTCCAGTACATTTTCTTCCAGGCCTGAATCCCGGTACACATAGCTGTTTGCAATCAAGCATTTGCTCCGACCCCGCTTTTGAGCCAAAGAAGAGTCGATGCAGCTGCATGCTGGATGCATCGCACAAGTTGATGCTGACACTCAAGCCAACCATGTTGCTCATTCATATTCCATGTGCAGCTTTTGCAGTCACAGGCAATCGTAGTGCCCCATTGTGTAACCATGTACAAGCCGACACAGCCTCAGTGGCATACAACAATGCCAACAGGCATCATTGGTACAGCAATCAGTACGGTGCAGCGGCAAACAACCTCGACCAGCAGCACCCCAATGCACCCGATCTCCCCACCACCAGGGATTCACAACATCCCACCACACCACCTCATCCCTAACCCCGACTACTTGGGGTTCAGCTCACCCTTACTGCCACAACACCACTTTCCCACCTTTCCCTCCACCCCCTCCCCCACCCCAACAGTTTCCCGGCCCAACATCACCCACCACACTGCCAACCCTCACACCTGCCACTCCCCAACACACATTTGTGAGTCCATCTTCGATGACGACTCGAAACCCCAGCATTTCGCCACATACAGTACTTCAGGCCACCGCCACAACCCAACAACAGCAACACCCCAATCCCACGCCTGCAAATCCCCAGATACCAAACGACTTCGTTCAAACACCAGAGCATTGGGACAACAGGCAGCTTTTTGGCCTCAACCTACCCAAACACATTCAATCTACACCACATTCAGTGCACAACCGCACGGCAGGCATGCCAATCGCAACAGCACCATTGGTCGCATTTCTGCGACACAATTGGTCCTCGTACTGGCTACGGTACGCCGCACACGGCTTCGACATCCATCTCACATGCAGCAAACACATCAGCGAAGCCGTCTTTACCACTGAACTTATGGGTCAACTCCGAGCAAGG